TTCTGCGATAAACACGAAATAAACTCGATTTTGTAATGTTAAATCGATCGGCCACTGATCGCAGGCATCAGGGTTCCCAAGTATCCGTATCGTAATCATTACTTGCTTCTGTAAGTCGAAGGTAGGTCTCCCGCCATTCCTTTGTCCATGAGGCAGACCTAGGCAAGTAGCTAACAAGCGTTCCAAACAGCTGACTGTAGTTCTTGACATCCAAAAATGACTTAAAAAATCTGAAACACTGTAGAGTGGTTTAATATGTTCAAAATAATTCTCAATGCGGACATGGCTCTGCCTCTCACTTCTCGAAAGAAAGAATAGAAATTCTTCGTCTTCACAACTTCTCGCTTCTTGTAGTATTGATTCATGGGAGAGTTCCTCTCTTAACGAAACAACAGCTGATTTATCCGCGACGGCCATCTTGTTTTCTTTTTAAATCTAGTGCGCGATTCCGCTGACGCGCTCTACAATTTCGCACCTGCTGTCATGATAACTGATCTGATGAACTAACTCATGGGAAACACATGCATCATACACCAAAAAGCCCCCGTGTGTAGCAGAAGAGGCCGATTACTCGCAATTCTCGTAGTTTTGAATTTCCCTTTTGTTTTTCAGTACACGCATATGCTTGTATTTTTTTTACACGGATGCAATAGAAATTAATTAGAAAAGCATTTCTTGAAATGGGAAGTCGTCGTGTGTTTTGAGCGAAAAAGATCGTCAAGGGATCAGAACAACACCGGCCAGATTATGGTCACGTGGTCAGCAAAGACTTGTAGAAACCGATCATATTTTACTCTTGCCATCAAAACAGTCACGTTTGCATAAAAAAAAACAACAACAACAAAACGAAAAGACCGAAATTGGCGTAACTGCCGAAACATCCGGAAAAAACCATGAAACGAAAGAAATAATGCTGTAAATTAACATTTTTTTAATGTCATGGGTACATGTTTCCGTGGGAATTTCCATGTGAACAGCTTGCTCCATCACTCACAAACTCTGCGTGATTCTCGCTGCTACTCGTTATGTTAAGCGCATGGACGATTCGAAGACCCTTTGGATTTGGTCCCTAAGTTGATCATAGCACTAAGTTGAAAAATTCGAAGTCCATTTCAATTTGCTGAATGTCGTAACAGCCGTGTAAAGACAATAAACATCGCAACCATCGATGCAATCACAATGGCGCCAGGACTTCGGACTTCTTCGGAAGGATAGATCTCGAGTTCGGAGCCGACAAACTACAACTAATTTCGAAGAGTCCACGCTAATTTGCATATCTCAATGTGCCCGTAACAACTCGTTTCTACGCTATCGCGTATCCATCAGTTAAAAATTATTCGCTTAAAAAAGGAAAAAGAATATTGCGCAATATCATTAGATTTTATGCAAATGTTTATTTCTCTTTCACTGTTGACCATAGATACATGTACTAGGTACAATGCGGGAAGATCGGTACAGGTTGCTGCGTGACTAGCCAAAAATGTCCCCATAATGACAACTTGGGCTACAAGACAAGAACCAAAATATTCCCTACATATCAAAGCAACGAAATTGACCCAGCCACATGTATCAGCAGTACCTAACACACTCACCTATTTTCTTCTTTTTGCAACCCCCTGTTTCCTTTTATATCATGCACATTTAAAATAAAAGCTTTAAACAGAATAGGGAAATACTGATTCACATACCTTTGTTTTCAACACTTGAAGTTGGCTGTGATTGAGGTGAGACAGTCACGGGTGTAGCACTTTTTACCAGTGATGGATCTGTCATATCCCGTTTGCTTTCATCCTTAGTACCTGGTGAGACGGTAGCTGTACTTGCAACATTTAGAAGATCTTCAGCCGAAGAGAGTCTTTCTCTGCGTCGTGATTTTTCTAATTTAGCTTCATTGGAATCTGACCTTTCCTGCTGACAGTCAGCGCCTGAACCGGACGATTTAAGCTTGCATGGATTCGATTCTTTCCATTTCATTAGAATGCTGCTTCCGTTTTTTTGGAGTTCAACAATATCTAACTCCGCCATAAAAATGCTGAACTTTTTTCTTTTCAACAACGCACTATAGTGTTCCTCAAAAGTTCTCCCAAACTTTTGCTCATACTTACACTTGAATTTAGAAATATTCAAACAATAACCGTCACAAGAACGTAAAATTTCAACAACCTCTTTCTTGAGTTGATCCAGTGTTCCTGGCTTCTCGGTCGATTTCGAGCCACTCGCCATAGCTGCTAACAATACCGCGACAAAAGATGCTAAACAATGGCAAAGCTTGTCAATTGCATAATAGAAACGTGCAAAAACTGATCATTCGTTCTAATCGTTCCCCCAAACTTTTCGTGTCAAGAACTGGCAGGTTCGACGTCGGTATGTTCTAGCAAAACCTCGCCGTCAACTGTGGTAAGACCTTGCGTGACAATGCAAAAATTACCGTTACGTCAAAACCACAACAGGTTGGTTTAAATGCTCACCCTATTAAAAACACAGAAATTTATGGCATCATCTTTCCAAGAAACCGGTTCATGCTCTTCGAAAGGTTTCTGAGAATCATGATTTCGATCAGGCGTTACTTCTTGATTATTGTTCTCCATTTCCTCGTTCCTACTCTTTTGCAACCAATAGCCAGTGCAAGTCACGTAAGCAAAATGGCGGACAACACTCGGTAAACTGTTCCTACAACCTCAAGTGATACACTGAAATAGCTTAGTTCCTGTACATAAACAAATAATAAGAAACTGAGTGCCGTCATAATGGCGGATAGCGAAGACGAAGAAGTTCCCCCGCAGAGAGATGTGAAGGTATTTTGTACTTTTAGCTTCATCACATGGACACATGACATGGACGAATTTCAGATTGGTTCAAATAGCGTACGATGAGACACCTTTTATGAAACTTTCGACAACTCCTGGAAAGTCCAAGATAGTTCGTGTTAAATTCTTATCAACATGGAGTTTAAAAGGACACAATTTCCACAGTTAAGGTTTAGAACTCCAAAAGAACTTGGTGCTGGCAAACTGTTGCAAAGAAATAGTTTGACCTGCAATTCAACTGGCTTCACTTCTTTAAACACCATTTATTTTTTTGTTATTTTAATGAAATCGTCTTTTAAAAGGTGGTTGGGCAATCAGTTTTTTTGTTGCTACATACGTGTTTGCGGTATGGCACCAGTCAACATGTGTATTCGGGAAGCTGTATCAAATAGCTCTCCAAATGTAATGTACAATTATGTTTAACTTTGTATCAGTAACAGAAACTGTAGACTTCCTGCATACAATGTACTAGCCGTAAATTGTATTGAGTTTTATGATAAAGTTCAGATATAACGCGTGCTGTCGTTGATTGAATGAGCGTGCTCTGTCAGAGTACAAAACATGGATAGAAAGGGTAAGTTTAATTTCTAAAGAAACTGTGATGCTGCATTGGTGGGAGAACATAATGAGGTAATTTGGTATTCTCATTTGAGTTGGTAACATAAATTTGCCACCATTAAGAGTTTCAAAGCTGACATTTCGAGTGTTATCCCTACATTAGAGTCCTTCACTATAGCTCTGACAAAGGGCTAATGTTTGAAACATCAGCTTTGAAACTCTTAACAGTGGCCAATTTATGAAACCAACTCAAATGTTAATACCAAATTACCTTACAAAACATGGAACTGAGCTAAAGCTGTCACGCAATCTGCCAATTTGTACTATTTCCCACCACTATCCAGACTTCTCTCTAGCTTTTTTTTGTTAATTGAAAGTGAAATTTCAGAACAAGTGAGCAAACAAAGGTTGGTAAACATACCAAGTGCTGTAATTGACATTATTATAATGAGAGAAGAGACAAAAATCCTTAAAGAGAAAGTGAACAATCTGAGTTTTTTAAGCTTATGGACATTAATAAAAATCAAGCACCACTAAAACTTGTATAGTATAAATGGTTTTTGTCATAAAAATAAAGACAGAACAAAACATGAATGATGAAAGTGTAACCAAATTGGCATAACTGTTAAAACTCATACAAATCATGATGGTGTCAGAGTGACTGCCAACATGGCTAGCTCATCATGGGGATCTCTGGTCATTGTGGTGAAGCAAGCCTCAGAAATTAAATCAGCAGCCCTTTGAGTGAGCAACTAAGAGCTTTCTCTGATATCCTTGTTGAGGTCACATCCATAACAGAATTGGAGTTTTATGGCACTGTGATCCCAAGCAATGTTCATGTTGCTTAGAATTCAGCAGTTGTTTAGTCATAAAACTCACATCTTAAGCAGTTTGTTTCCTATTTGTAATGTGAAAAATCTTGTGTGTTTTTATAAGCCACAATTTGGCCCTATTGCATTCAACATTTCACTTTCAGACCCTGTATTCAGACTGATAAAAAAAATTCAGGCAAAAGTGTTATGTTCAACCAGCTGAACTGTTTAAGTTTGTGAACTACTTCAGATTGTGACCTTTGATGGTTTGACATTGTCAACAACTTTAGTCTTGTTCAACCAATCAGATTATCTGAGCCATTCTAGCAAGGATTCTGATTGGCTTAATGTAGCATATTTTATGAGAGTATCGAGCATGCTAATGATACTGTTGTTATAAACTAGAAGTGATGCATGGGGAATTTAACGGATTCTCTATTGTTAAACAAATGGAGAAGCCTTGACAGTGCTCTGTTTTGTTGTAAAGCAACTTAGTAAGCAGCTAGAGCACAAAAGAACTGAGGAGAAACACTGTTGACTATGTCTTGTGTTTCTCCCTACACTTCTTTTGTACTCTAGCTGCTTCTTGGATGCTTTACAACAGGACAGAGCACAGTCAAGGCTTCTGTAGTTGTTAAATATTTTTTAACATTTGTGTTGAAATATTTTAATAGTTTTTCAACAGGATTTTAGCTTCAAACAAATGAGGAAAATGAGAATGTTTGATTCACCAATAAATTTACCCACTGCTCGCTCAAGCTTGCTGGCTGTTTCCACCAAGTATGGGTTGACATTCATCAGCTGCCCTACAGGTATTTTGAAACCATTTTTGTTAATTTGTTGTTGATTTTTGTTTTGTTTTGGTTTTGGTGTTGAGAAAATGTAGTGGACAAGTTAAAAAAAATGTGCACAATAACAGTACTTATACAAAAACCAAGGACAATTAACTGAATGAGAGCACATTTCAAATGAGTGTCCTTAAAACTGAACCTTAGTAATCAATAAAGCCAATGAGATGAAAAGAAAATATCATAACGAGTCAATGAAAATTTACAGCAAAAGTAAGTAGACTGCTCAAAGCAAGTTTTGAATCTGATTGTTTCAGAGGATAGCACAAGTTTTCTCATGCAGGTGTAAATCTGGCATAAATTAAGCCTGAAAATCATCAGATTACAGCTGGATGTGTTATTTTCCTTAAACTGAATTTTCTTTTCTGATTGCCTCTGGTGATAAGAATGATGTATGTACAAAATTTGATCAAAGTGTACATATTTACATATGTGTGGACCAAGGACAATATTAAATCACAAAAATTGCATCAATTGCATATACATGTAATTTCTTCATGGGATATTTAATGAATTACCATTGTGCTGCCTATCATTGTTTTAAATTTTTAAATCAAGATTATTATTAAGTGTCAGGAATTAATTGCCATGAATAAAAGTGAAAAAAACTGAAACCATTGAAAGAATTAATGAATCTGATGAAGGAAGCATGTACAATGTTGGTAAGTTGAAGCAGCTCCTTAGCATAACTATTCATCTCCTTACCATTTGTAGAATACTGATAGCAGTTCTTTCCCTTAGAACACCTCCCTCCCCATCACATATCCCACTCTAGGCCTGTTTATCATGACACCAGCATGGGTCACTCTGCTGTTCTTTCAGAACCCTGTTTGCTTTTAAGGGGGCTGAATTCTTTGATTGTTCCATGCTACAATATTTGTCCAGTTCTTTACTAAAAATTTTTCAAACAAATACCCTTATAGGCCAGTATAATCAGAGTTAGCTACTTATATCATTGCAAAATAAAGGTGGCTCTGAACTTACTTGTACTTTACAGAATATTAAAAACATGAATCTTTAAATGCAAATAACGATAAGCTAATAAAAAAGCAGGGATACATGCATATCAAACTTGCTATTGGTAATTTGTCACAAAACCAGTGGCACATGTGAATTACCTGAATGCAAGTAATCAACCACAACCGGTAATCTGATTGTATCTTTCAGTGGCCAATTGCCCTTCAGCCCTCAAAGAAATTAGTCATCCTGTACAATTTGTGGGTCTCAGCAGTGATGATGTGACTCTACCTGTCTGCTATGTGGATGGAGATCAAACTGTCATATATTTGTACAATATTCCAACACTTGGAAGCTCTGTATGTTGTACTTTTGTAGAACTGTTTATCATGACACCAGAATCTGTTTCTGCGGGTTTGCATAATAAAATTAAAGAAGCAATTGTTCCTCTCTCTCTCTTAATCATTTAGATGGAATGACGTTTGCCCCTTATGTGTAAATAAGGAGATCAATTAACAGTTAGACTGCATTTTATTCTTCCTTATAAGGACGACGAAACTACGCTATAAATTAATGCATTAAGGCTGGTCTAAAAAATTAGGGTTGTTGATTCCTTTTTTATAAGGCTTGTCCCTTGTGGAAGAATGGGTACATTTGGAAACGTATAGCATAAATTGTTTGAGGGTCATTAAAATATTAAACGCAAATAAAATGTACAGTCCGATCAAAATTTAGATTACAGTGATAAAACATTGGAGTGACTTCAATTTACAGTAAATTTTTTTGAGAAATAAGCAACTTGGAAAATTGAACACCATATGTAAAACTGGTTTAAGGTCAGCTGATGTACCTCCGCTGTCTTTTTTGTTGTTTTCTCACTACACTTTTCTGTTTGATGGTTTTCCCATTATTCTGCGCTACCATAGTTTATTCTTTCTTTTTTTGATCTCAAGTATTGTGCAAGTTATTCAGAGTCAACATCAATTCAATTGTTTCCAATAATTCCCCTTTAAACCATGCAGTACGAGGAAAATGACTAAATTAAACGACAGTTAAAAACTTAAAATACCAAATGAAACTATGATCCGACTTAAAGAGAAAATAAAATTTTAAAAAATCGAAAATAAATACTATTCGTAAAAACGTCAAGATTGCAAATCTGTAGCTGATTGTTCACTACATTGTTTAAATTCTCATTATCTTATCAGACCATTTCCCTTTTTCTTACAAGGATTTTGAAATATACCGCTAAAACTGCATCATCTTAACTTTCTAACAACCTAATAACTTTTAGATCACCCAAAAGTTTTCATTCATAGTGAAGTATTGTTACTCCGCCCACAATCTTCAGATAACCATACACAGTTTTACGGTCTTCTTCTCTAAGTGGGTGGCAAGATTTTGCAAACGGCGAATTCGAACAATATCAGGTTTGCCTGCATTAAAAACACGATAAAGGTGAAAGGCGACTTGGTGCTTCAAAGCGAATTGAAGTTCCGGAACGGACAGCTCGAAAGAGTCCTTTTGATCCGAGGAAGTGGTCTTCACTTCAACAAACGTTACAACAGTGCGTTTGTCGCTCTCCTTAACACCTGAGATATGTTGTCGAATCTCAATGTCGTACGGCGCAGTTGTGTTCCCGTTTTCGTTTATCCAGACAATTTCAACCAAGCCAGGAGAGTGGCCTCGTGCTTGCTCTTGGAGAAACTCGAACACACACTGTTCTCCCCAACGACCAATGTCTTCTTTGTTTGGGTTATCCAACAGCGGGATCCGCTCCAAGATCCTCTGATTATCATTAAATTGTAGATCTTCGAATTCAACTTCAGAAGGACCTCCATCAAACCAGAGATTGGAGCGGCTGGGAGACGTTTGCCTCGCTACATCGCCAGGAATGGTTACGAAAGTCATCTCCCCAGGTAGGGGCACTTGGGGTGGAGGGGGCTCCACGATCTTTGTATTGTGCTGACGGTTCTCAATTTCATTGGGCCACAAATCACTTGCTGTTTCGCGAGAACTTATCTGCTGGTTGTTCACCAAAGCATCTTCAACGATTACCTCAGGTGGTTGCTGTGCATCGTTTTCAGTACGCTGTTGCCTAGGGACGACTGCACCAGGATAATCCAGCGCCGGTTTCCTATCCTCTCCCTTCAGGGGATTTTCCGACATGGCCTCTGGCGCTCTTGTGGTATTAATATCACGTTGTGTAGGTCTCTGAACCAAATAGTCCTGATTCTCTTCTCTAAAGGGCTTCTCTACAGTTTCAGGAGGCTCCGGCAAGGGCCAAATCTTCAGAATGGGTTCACCACCGGGATCCCCTTCACGTTTACAAGCCTTGTCATATTGAGCAGACGATTTTGGTGGCCAGGAATGAAGACCATCGTCGCCTGACCTGGAAGGGGTGGCGGTTTCCTTATGAAAAGGAACTGCTTCATTCATAGCCTCTTCACTATCATCCATTACAATTTCGGGTACCTCAGGAGGTGGAACGATCCACCGTTCTTCGTCTTCCGGTAATGGCTCTAAGTCCTGCTTATCCTCCAAGTAGCTGTCAAGATCATTCCCACTGTAATTTTTCACAGCAACCAAAAAGTTGTTGAGGTCTGAAGCACCCGGTTTTTTCCCTCCAAACAACAGCTTAATCATCTCGGCATTTAAGACTTCTAAATTATCCTGATACTCTTGTACGACATATAAACAGAACATGCCCCCAGCCTCTTGTATGCCGGATTTTTCTTCAAGGGGAACGTGAACGTCAGGGTGTGTGGACAATGAATACACAGTTGCCAAACTTGGTACGGAGGCAAATTGCATCTGCGGCAGTTTCTGTGCAAATCCTTGAGAGCTTAGTTCGTTGTACACCGATTGATACCTGGAGTATAGGAAACGTTGCACACATGGGATGAGTTGGTGGAAGTGCTTCTGCAAGGGAACGCACTGGTATTGCACTGCGCCGCCTGGAGTAAACTCTTTCTTGACGCATTTACTCAACGTTGCTACTCCACAGCTATTCAAGAACGAGGAAACATAGTGCTTCATTAATTCATGGTCTTCTTGAGGCTTGTTTTTAGATGAGCGACGATTTTGAGGTTGATAGAAATCTCCAAAGTCAAGAAAGTGGACACTTTTTTCCTTCTGGAAAATCTTCAAGAGACTTTTATCATCGGCTATTAGTGGCTTCTCAGAAAGTGCAACCCATTTATCCGTTGTAGGGAAAATGCGTATTTGGTCGTCTTGTAAGGACTGTTTCAAAAAGGCAGTCATATTTGCGTCGATCTGTTGATCAAGTCGCATGCTGTTTTTGTGGTCTCGTCCGACGCATTTACTTCCGAAGGTGGCAAAGATTTGCAACATATCCCTCAAAGATGAAGGAGAAGGAAAACGAGAAACTTCGGCAACAGTCGATGCCATTTCGATGTACTCACCCACATTAGGTGTCGCGTCGACACCGATATGATCAACAAAAAAGGCTGAAAGACTTTCCTGGGTACTTCGGCTTCGATAGAACATTTCCAATAAGGGCCTTGTGGTCATCTTGTCTTGTTCTTCAAGAAGCTTCCGAGAGACTTCTGTCGGATCTGTCCAGCAAACGTCTTTCTTCAGGTAAAAAAATCCAGCCGATTGGAGACTTGGAGGGTGATGTGGAACAAATATCATCTCATTCTTTAGAAATGCCTCGTGTATTTTCATTCTTTCTACCCCACTCTGATTCATTTTCTCAAGAAGAAAGAAATACACTCTGCTCATGTGCGCAACAGAAGTCGTAAATTCCTTTCGTTGATTTCCATCCATCCTTTCACAGCCGCAACCTGACCACTTCTTCATCTCATTTATCAGCCCATCCACGCCTACGTTTTCTCGAATTCGAAGAGTTTCTATGAAAGACGAGCTCTTTAAATCTGCTGCGACGTAGTTTACGTGATTCTCAAGTAGCTGATAAACAAGTTCACTCCGCACAAAGAGGTCTCTTGGAAGATGGAAGTCCTTCCCTCCAGCGGTGGAGGCCATCCACGGTTTGGTGACGAGATTCAGGTAAAAGGAAGATCGAGTTTCCTTGAGATTATGCCCGTTTGTATCTTCAACGTGGACAAATTCTTCAGCATACTGTGCGTACTCGTCACCCCAACGTTCATCTATGCACTGAGCCAAGAACGTTGACTCCTCAGGACTGATTCGTTGCTTAGCGTCAGTGCTGTCAATCTTTCGAAGAAATTCTTCAAACTGCTCGCAGGCCCAGTCATTAATAATGTAAAAGCCATCAGGAGTTGTCTGCCAAATGTTTTCGTAGGACGTCCAAGGTGTTTTAGCCTAAAGAAATAGAAAAAGGATATATTTAGTTGAACGTTCTAACCATGCATAGATTTCTCATACTGTCTATCTACTTTTCTGAATGCATACTTCCAAAATGCATCTCTTAAGATGAAACTGAGAGACCTAGGTAATATGTTAAAATAAACAAATATATAACCAAGTGGGTGCTAAAAAAAAAGATTTAAGAGCATACCATAGTGTCTCGATGTATCCTTACTGGTTTCCTTTTAATGGACAAAAAGTGTTTGACACCGAGCTTGGTAAGAAATTCTTTCCAATCCGTAGAACGAGCTTTCAATCCTGTATAACAGTCCAAGTACGATTCGTCAATAAGAGTCCATGAAATACCTTAACGGAGAGAGAAAATATACATTTAATTAATTTCTACCTTCCTATCCGAGGGAACTGCAAATATCAAAAACAATGTACAACAGAAACACAACAAACGGTTGGAAGTCAGGAGTAACATTTGATCGTGAAGTCTGATTGTGTGGTTTAAAGGAGATATGAGCGGGACTGCTATCCGTAGGAGTGACTGACGTTTCGATACTCTAAGCGGAAGTCACCATTACATTGACGACTCTGGAAAGCTGGTCCACTACTTAAACACTTAGATTCCTCTTACCAGCTATCAACAGTTACCAGTACCACACTAAAGGCTTAGTAACAAAATTTACACAACGAACCAAAAAACAGAACAACATAACTCTTCCGATGGATGGGAATTGACCCGGACTTACGCTACTTGAGTCAGCCGATAACATCACAGCAAAACAGTCAATCTTGCCGAAAATAGTCCGTCTCACGACCATTTTCACAGCAGCAAAATGGTGAAATTTATGCCAGATTTACACCTGCAAGAGCTCAACTTAGGGCAACACAGGTAAATATAAGGCGACTTACTGGGCAACCGGCCAGCAAGGTCAATTGTGCTTCCATATTTGGGCGTGAAATGGATCGACGTTGTTGTTGGGTTCAAAACACCCTTGTTCGTTAAAATCTGTACGCAGGACTTTAATTCATCCATATCACACGCAGAAGGGTCTTTCAACCGCTCTTCCAGAATGTACACAAGGTAGCTTCTCAACACTTCATTAGACTTGGACTGTAAATCACAAAAAGTACATCCGTGTTGGAATCATATTACACTACCAGCTATCCCCAAGATTCCTCTAAAGTTTCCTAGTTGTCTCTTTAAAAATTATTTGGGACACGATATCAGATATCGAGATGAACATAAGTTTCAAAATTCAAATTCTAAAGCGAATATCTACAAGCGATGAATTTCTATTTAAGAAACCAATTCTTTACATGTATGAGAAAACTAAAGCCAATAAAGAAGCGTGAGACCGCCTTGGCCTCTGACTCTCGCCTAAACATTCATCATTGCCAAAAGTACAATGCGAATTTAATACCTTCCACTTGTCTGACTTGAAAGTTGGGATTATGTGACTGTTGACGAGCTCCTTAGGGCTCCAAACTTTGACTCCTAAACTTCTCAACAGTTGCTCAACTTGAGAACGACCGATATCATCCAGCGAAGAGAACAAAGACGGGTGTACTGTGGAGAGGTCTTTCTCGAGCACCGAGAATGTCGTCTGCTCCTGAGATTTGGATCCTGAAGTTAGATATCAGAAAAATTTCATGACCAGAACGAAATCCTATATTATTTTCTGAAAATGAGAAAAAGCTTTATCAAATGCCAATTACTCCAGTATACTGATCTGATAATTGAAATCAAGCCGCTCTCCGGAGCATAGATTTACTTTTGGTGTACTACTCATTTGAGTATCGATATTTGGACTCCCCAATACGTTGAATCCCTCAAGATAACTCGACAAGAGCTATAATATGGAGGGTTTTTGTGCCATCCTCTTCCGAAAGAAAAAAGGCTAAATCATTTACGACAAAAAGTGAAGAGTTTAGCAATGTAAGGATTATACTTTCAATACCGTTTTTATGTGATGAAATCTGTATATGGACCTACCTTTCTTAGCCTTTGGAATAGCTCCCTCGGATATTTTCTGCAAAGACAACGGTAGGAAAACAGAGTCTTCCTTAAGGTTTACGAATGTGCCATCTGTTAACGGAATCACCTTGAGAGAACGAATTCGATCAAGCATTTCTTGACTGCTATTTCGCTCCTGCTCGAGACATCTATACATGCACTGCAACCAACGAGCTACCCAACCTATCTTCACAACATCCAGTTTGTAGTCCTTACTATGGGATGCGGCTTCATCTGATTCATTTGAAGCCTTTTTCACCTCCGCTCTGCCAATGTCCATCAAGTGCCTGCTGGACAAAGTCTCGATTCCAAGACGGGATCTAAGGGTGGGATTTAGCGCTGGAACAATTTCTGGGTGAAGGTAGCTCAACCCTAAGTGCTCCTTCAAAAGGGCAGGGGTTATGAGCTTCTGTATGATGCTGTCTTCGGAAAAAATAGCCTCAGTGGGGAGAACCCAATTGTAGCTCTTTCTATCATCAACTTCGGTCGGTTCCTCAGTTTCGTTGCTGGACACGATTACAGGTATACAACACTTGCTTTGAAGAAGTTTTAAAATATGGCGAGCAACAGGCGAAAAAAAGTCGAGGATTTCCTCTTCAAGCGGTACAAATTGGAAATATGAAACCACCGAGGAAAGGCCGGAAAAGGATGGATGAACCTTTTGAGAAAGAAACAAATATTTCAATTACTTTGAAGTTTTAGTCCCAAAATTTCAAAATCTCAAGATTTGGATCCTTAATTTAGAGGGTTTGAAGCTGGAAACAAAATGACTGATTGGAAAAACTACACGTCTTCCTACCATGAAGACCGAAAGAGCGTCAATAAACAGTTGTGGAATCTCTTCCCTTAGCCACTGGTTCCAGGATTTGTCACTGTCGACATCCTCTCTAGACGAAGGAACCTCAAAGTCGCCTTGAATGATGAAACGAAAACCATAACTTCTCAGGGGAAGATACGCAAACACATTCTGTGGCGGCAGGTTCTGTAGATGATATACAGTAAAATACATTCTAAGCCCGCCTTCCCCTGATAAAAGTAAAAGTAGCCTAACGTATACACTCAAACCAAGTAACCCATCACGCTGGAGCTTATACTGGTTCTCGTGACATGAAACGCCTAGGGGTATCGTTACTATACTTGAATGAGGTAGGTGCTCATCGCAAGGTCACCTCCAGCGCGCTAACCGCTAGGTAACCGTGTCGCCCATAAAAGCCAATATTCATATAATTACAAAGTATGACCAAAACACTTGCTAGAGTGCCATTCGTTGTTTTCATTTTGCTCTAAGAAGATCATGAAATATGCCTAGGTTTACATGTACCTAGCTCTTGCGTCCCCTTTGTTGCAAGGGACATAGAGAGAACAGATGAGCTCCAGATCCCTTGTGCTACTTTAAGCGCGCAAATTTGCCAGATTCTATTGCCCTTGTCCTTGCCCCTATGACGACTACACATTTCCCTTCCCCACAGCTCAGTCAATGTTGCATATTTTGCTTACGTGTTTTATAATTAAAGTTTTATCATTTTTGAAATATTTCAAGCAACACTAAATTGGGGGAAGATAAGCTCTTCGAGAGGAAAATATTTTTGTATTTTTTCCAGGTGTATAATGTAGATTCATTTCAACAGAGATATACATTTCTTCACAAGTAATTTTATTTCAGGGGGTTCCAGAAAACCCTTTTTGCTTGGCTCTCACTCCATATCATTTTCAGGAAACACTAAAACAAGCCAAGAACTGAAGTGTAACATGGTGAACTTTACCTGATGCCTAATCCGTTGACTTGAAGTACTGCCTGAGTCATCAAACAAAGGGAAAGCTAGCGCCAGCTCAGTCATCTCTACATCCTCTTTCATCTGAATTGAATTAAAGTGACAAAAGCAATTAAAATAAGAAGTTCGGCTTTGGTAATATGCTTTTCACGAAACCCATTAAAATCTTAGATGATCGTACTCAGTGTAGAATGAGAGATTACGGCAATAAAACTTAAAAAAAGGAAAATTTCGTACAAATACCGAATAAATAAATATGAAGACAGTGTGATGCACAAGTACTTGCAATCGTCCCTGGTACCACTTACATATCAGTGATTTTAAAGATAACAAACTTTGATTGCCGGCCTTATCAGCAGCAAAACGACAATACATTTTTACTTTTAAGGTAATCGTAAGCTGTCTTCTTACATTTGAGGCATCGAGCTGTTTTTTGATAACAAGCCACCGATCAATGCCTTTGGTGTGCTTGATTTCCATGATATTATCTCCCAGGTCCTTCCTTATCATTTCACTGCGACTATTATGTACCTGGAGAAAAATTGAAAGGTTAGGCGATTTTCGGCAATTTCAGCCAAGTAGTAAAAGCAACAAATGTAGAGGGCATAAAGTTTTGATCTTGCCAACTTCGTGATCAGATTGAGAAATATGGAAATGGCTCAGATTTCAATCCGTTCAGAGAACCAAAAATAAACTGACTGGTTCGAACAAGAAAACCGTTGCATTGAAAGGAAGAAGAATTAGCAGAGGTGAATTTTACCTTTTACAATTTAGAATGTTATTTGAAAATTGCGTGGTTCGATATCTGATGATGTTCATGGCACTTGCTGCTGCTATGAATAAGAATACCACCGACAACAACGATAAGGAGCAAAAGGATAACTGAACTTCACCAATATTAATATTGCATGCGTTGAGAATTAATACTAATTACGAGTTTTTTTCTGGAGTCTTAATTGCCTATGTTTGTATAGAAACCTGCTAAGAGAAGAATGAGTATTTTAATTTGTTGACACAGAGTTCTAACCCACCTTGTCGTGAATAAAGATTCCTCGCAAACGATGCAAGAATAGCAAGAGTGAGGGACGGATATCGTGAAACCTGGGCGCCAGAGAGGACTTCTCGTTCTGTCGATGTTCATCATTTAATGGTAGAACTATGCGAGTCGGCCAGCTACGAGGAAAAAAAAAAGGGAAAAGAAAGCATTTTGAATAAACAATGTAACAAGAAAACAAAATAACGAGTTCGCAGAGCGCTCAAGTGTCACCAAGGCTTTAGTTGAAGGTCTGGTTTAAATCTTTCCTGAAACAATTCGTTTTGAAAACATGCTAAGTTTAGACACCTGTTTCTGTGCGTGACAATTCACCAAGGATTCTCCTGTCGGAAGGGGTATAAAAGTCTAAACTTACAAGCTAAATTCATCCTCGGAACTGCTTGCTCCACTGCCATTATCTCCTTTCTCATCATCAACAGATTCGTCTCCCAAATCCTCCATGGTTCGTTCCTCCGAACAATTGCCTCCAACCCACTCAGGAAGAATGTAACCAATTGGCCCGCTTTTAGCGTCAAATCGAATGTGATATCCATTGGAATGGACTTCGGGGCAATCAGTAACCCGGAAGACTGACTTAAAACCAATACCTTTTTGTCCTAAAATTGCGCAGAACAATGAACATCTATAATAAATTTCCATCACTCCATTTTGTAGGTCATAATACTGACCAAACAGAAAGGTGTTCTAAAAGTGGATCGTGTGTAAGTACTGAGACTCTGCGTTACACAATTTCACGTGAACCCATTCCTTTAGGAAAACCTTGCGTTTAAATAGGCATAAATCTTTTACTAAATCTGTAGATAACCCCCTGTAGCTATTTGTGACTTTGAAACATCAAACTATTTTGTACGCAAAATCAAAAGAAAGGTTTTCATGTGGAAACAATTACTCCAGGAAAACCTTAGCGTAGATAAGCGTTGATCCTTAATTTAATTGATCTGCAGTCATATCCTTGCAACTCTTTGTGACCTTGAAACATCAAAAGTTTTTGTAGACAAGGGAAAACACCCATAACCTAAGCAATCGAAGAACCAAACTTACGAACCTCTTAAGACGGAAATTACGGATGCTGTGATCACACTGGAAGTGTGCGCAAACTAGGTGAGAATTAGTTTCCATTGCCGAAATGGGCGAAATTAATCTTATAATGCAAGACTCACATGTACCCACTTACCAATGTAGCCATAGCGATGTTTCCCTTTGGTACTTCTTCCGACATCACACAACGCACGGATATTCTTCTCCTCAAATCCAATCTCGTTGTTCAGTATCACGATCCTGTCCCGCTCGAGGACGAACAAAAGGGACGGAAATCCTGGGTCAGAGCACACCTCGGGGTAGGAATTATCGTCTGCATTCTGAACGAGCTCCAACACAAAGTGGGTGTCCCTAGAGTAGAGCTCACTGGACAGACGTGCTAAGCCACGACCTTCTCTTTCCCGCTGTCGCTGGACAAGTTTGGACTCCTCTTCTCCGAGCTCAATACCGATTCCAAAGTCATCTCGGCGAATTTGGTCGATTACTGCTTTGCACTCATCTTCTTGCTGTCTGGGAGGAGCACAAGGAGTGGGAGGTACTTCTGGAAATTCATCGTGAGTGCTCGATGTAACTGTTAAGATTGTAAAAAAAATGCGACAAAATTTAGGCTTATGGATCAAGGCACATTATCATGATGCGAAGTTTGGCTACTGGGCCAGAAAGAGGAACAGAAGGTCCGAAAATTAAAGTACTCGGCAGAAATTATAGATTAAGTAGACAATGAGCGAGGAATGAAGAACGCAAAAGATAGAAGGGAAACCGGAAGATATAAAGGAAGCAAAGAAGGAATAAGGGCCTGCAAAAAATACCTTCGTCTCCAGCCTTCTCAGCAAAGTTTTGTTGATCTTTAGAAACTGCTACATCGCCCTCTGGTTCACTTTCCGTGGAAGTCTAGAAAAAAATAGCTGTTACCATAGTCATTACACCAGGAAAAGCCACTCTCAGATGATACAACGCAAAAAAAATTATATTAGAGGTACCAAAAGGGGGCAATTCCAACAACTATGTTTAACAATCTTCATACAATTCCAACAACTATGTTTAACAATCTTCATACGCTTCTAAAAAGATCAAAGGAAATTTCAGTCTACACACCTCTGTCTGCAGCGTTGACGAAATATGAGCCGCAACTGGCTTGACAACAGCAATCGGTCTCTTTTGTTCGTCATCACTGTAACCACCGGAGACCAAGCCTTCGTCCTCCTCTCTTTTGCACGCAACTCTGCTGAGAAAGTCATCTCTCCACTCACCTATCCCCAAGGCAAAGCCCAGGAGGTGAAGACGGCCGCGTTGAGACTGGGTAAAGCAGCTTCTAAGCAGCAAGGATGCTGCCTCGGTTGAGCCAACTAACTTTTTGAGAGGCTCAAAGAAAACCTAAACAACAGAGACAGGTGGTTAGAATGAACTATGGGAAAAAAACACCAAATTTTCAGTCTAACAACATAGAAATATTGCGAATCAAAGTACTTGAGTAACCCATTCACAGACTACATGAGAGACTTCATGACAAGCCTTAGTGTAACCCCATATTTCTGTATTGAAACCGCACATAAGTCACAATTCTTGTGTTCGTTCTGACGAAAGGCTAACGTTCGCAACGTCAGCTTCATAAACTCTCTATGCTGGCCAATTTGTATTATCAACTCAGTTCCTAAGAACGAAAAAGCCTTTAGAACGCTGGTTATCTTTGCACTTAAAAATGTTTTTTTAATGGCAAAAACATCGTATCTTTCGCATAACAGTGATTATAATTAATGCTTGTTTCAAGCCTCCTGTACGCTGATGCTCCTCTTAGCAGTAGCCTAAAACCAAAAGGGAGCCCTATGCTTGACGCTTTCAGTCTACCTAACATTACTGAGTTGACAAAAGCATTCCTAGCCAAGTTTGTTAAGGCACTAAAGCAGTCATGTTTTGAAGCCAATAAAGGCAACATTAACGATGATCAGGAAGACTGGGAGAGGAAGAGCAGGACGCGCTCTTGACGCTAGTCTGAGTTCATACAAAAGGTTAGCCGACGATCTACGTAAGTACTAATACACACCTTTGCTCCAACTGCCTGTGCTAATCTGAGTGGCATACGGGTCAAACATTTAAGAACAAAAGTAGATCGATGATCGCTGTCACCTCTGTCGTCAACTACCATTGATGCTAATGACGATTGTACATGATTGGCTAAAAGAGCCACTGGGGTGTTAGAAACACCACCATTCATCACTACCATGGAAACCAAATGCCCAGTCGCTCCTATCACATCTCGGTGACGCGTGCATTCTCTAAACATGTCCGGCGATGTGTCCATAGTGACTCGCAGAAGAACACCAGGAGATGTTTCCATGACAACCAGAGGGTTTTGACTTTGGGAAGATGTCTTTCTAGTACTCAAAAGAATCCCTTCATTTTCCAAAAATGACTTTAGGTCGCCAAGTTTAGAGACCTCTCCACCGAAAACCTCATCCCAGTGAGTCCAGAGGGAAACATCTTCGAGGAGGGGAGTGCTTTTTATAGCTTCTAAAGCTTCTTCTTTACTCTTAAAACCCAGAACACCACCGCTACGCGTGCTTAGGCTGGTGCTATCCGTATCTCCCACTCCAGAGCTGTGACGCAAAAGAGCAGCTTCGTAAACTATCGAAGGAATGTTCGCCCCTACTAAGTTCTTCTTTCGCTCTGCAGCTTTTTTCACCAAATTCGCAGCGGACCCAAATCCGAGATCCGTCACTTTATTGACATTGTAGTAATCACACAAGTACTGTTCTATGGACTCCTAAACAAAAAGGCAAAAGAAGTGAGCTTACTCAACAGGATAGGCTTACGTTCCAACTTGATAAATGTTACCGTCCAGTAAATTAAACCTTTTATCCCTTAGAGTGACAAGCTGTTAATATCGCCAAACAATATCACTTCTTGATCTGACATAAAAGTCATGAGAAAAAAAACGATATCATTGTGAACTATAAGTTAGTACACCTTGTCAGTATCATACAGTACAGGTAGAAATCGTTTCAAAACAGTGCAGAGAATGTGCATACTAATGTTGGATTGCAAAGGGTAAATGAATCCGAACGAATCCCTTAAGCTGCTGGTTGGTACCAATGTAAGTTTAGTTACAGCGAATAAAGTAAGCCCAAGATTTTTCCATACGATTTTCTAAGATCTGTCACCACAAGACACGAATTACAGTATTCCTCCGCTTTGAGGTTGCTTTTGTTTGTGTTATTTCATATTTAAACGCTAGAATTAATAAAATTGTAATTCTTACCGGAGTTGGTTCAGTTCCGCATTGAGATATAAAATCCAGCACGCTATCAAGTGACACTCGAAGTCCAAGCCCGGTTCCTCCGTTGCCAGACGGAGCAATTCCACCAACCTCCGCTATGGTTTCACGCAGCGCTTTGTGTTTCGTCAAGAACTTCAGGAAGGAACCATAACCGAAGGCTTCAAAACCGTCAAACCCTGAATATCTGTTCATGACATTTTCCTCAATTCTGGCTAGCGTCGCTAGGTCAGTGCGCTCCGCTTTATTTAGCCAGTCATTTACTTCTTCGACAATAATTCCTATCACATATATAAAACGATGAACAATTAGTAAAATGAGTAAAGGGATATCTAGCACCGTAGACCATTCCACGAATTTTATTAGTTTACCCGGAATTACTCTTTTGTACAAAAGGTTGAATTTATGATCTATAAGACTTATAACACTTTGTGTTTATACGATAAGGTGAATCCTATGCGAGTTTGATTGGTTCTCATCTATGATCTATTAGGGGACAGATGCATAGATGATATCACCACTGACAGCAATTTACTTTACATTTTATCCTTTTAAACAAATAGATACCATGTGGCCGTGCGTCCGTACGGAAGAAGTAAAAACATCGGTGACGCACTCAGATGCGCCTTAACACATTTGGACATCATCTCTGAATTATCGGCCACATGAAATCCATTTGTTAAATATTCAATGATTTAATGACTTGGTTAACTGAAGTTTAGTCACCAATAGTTTTTATACCAGCAACTAATTTATTTGCCTTTATGTGATTAATCTTAAAATATAGAACTTAAATTGAAAAACAGCTTCCATTGATAGACTAGGCAAGGAAGTAGAATCAAAGACGAAGAATAAAAATAAGAGTGAAGAAAAATCAGAATGGATTGTAAATGACACAACTTAATTGTAAATGACACAACTTGCTAAACTTAGCAACATGTAGAAATCGTGATCTAGTTTCCTCAATATCGCGATAATTTCCTTGTACAGCGAGGAAGCATAGCACGCACTTAGCTCAGAACTAAGCCTAGTGGTTTCAGAATAATTTTCCCTAATAAAACCAAAACAAAAAATATCAAACCTTCGCTTGGTGGATCTGACCCTGTTTCTGTCTCTGTGCGACTTGCCAGATTGTTGGCTGTCTCGAGCTCTTTCTTCACTCTTTCATCAACCAGGTTTTCCAAGGCGTCTCCCAACAGACGCTTACAACTCATATAGAGTGCTAGCTGAAATACATGCCTCCCGTGTGAATCTTTAATGACTGTTTCTAGGAACTTAGTGATCTTTTTTGCACGACTGTCCTCAAACGTCTCCAAGCAACAATCGAACACCGCCGTCAAGGCGTCTGTCGGAGATGTGTCAAGAAATTTCTTGACACAGCTCCTTGAATCGCCAAGATCTTGTCCAAGAAGATCTCTCTTGATTTTTCGCAAGTGTCTCTCGATTTCTTCGTCCATGTCAGCCGACACCTGTTCTCTGATACCTTTCCACTTCTCGCTCTCGTTATGTTTGGCTTTTTTAATCACCTAACAAATTGGTTAAAACAAATAAACAGCCCATATGGATTAATCAAAATGAGGTCGCTGGAGAATAGAAAGGGGCTCGTTCACTAATGGTGTATTTCCCTTTGGGCCAACCCAGCGACGTACAATAATGATTTCGAAAGGTAAAATAAGGCGCGTGCTTGATTAGACTTGATCTTAAGCTTAAAAAAAGAAATGTAAGAGAAAAAAAATGAGTAACATTACCGAGATAGCCAGTCCAATGCTCTGTATCCTAACACCAAGGTCAAAAGGAGTGCCACACTGATACTCTTCAGAGAGGTACTCCATGAATTTCCCTAAATCAACTTTCTTGCGCCACAGATCTTCCTTTGTCATATACTTCTCCAGGTGCTTCAAAATCTGAATAGTTGTCACATGAGGTACTTGGGAAAGACCTTGGGGAGCTTTAAACATGTCATAAACCACGGGCTGTTTCAATAGAGGACCCAAATTGAGCTCCTCAAAGTCTGATTTTGAACCCAAATCAGCAAGGCTTTGGTTCAATTCGTACAAAGTGGAGATGCTGTTTGACATGACGTACGCATGGACGAATAAGTTGACCTTTGGGATTAACACAGATAAAATAGATCAGATGAATTGAATGTGACTTATTCGTTTCTACTAATCTATCACTGTCATGTCAATTCAACATTATGTTAGAGGAAGGAACCAATAGGACGTGAGATAACTGAACTGAAAGCAGCATTTTCACCATAGTTAGTTTTTGGTTTTGTAGTGAAATAAATGCTTATCCCTGACTTCAACCGTGACTGGACATAATGCAAGAATATCATATCCAATTTATTGGAGGTGGTCGTAGTTTCTCAATATGCCAGTTGTCTAAAATGTCATGTAGACAGATTGCAACATATAGTGACAGAACCATACCAAGGTCAAGGACTTCAAAACTCTGCAAAATGGACAAGAACTAGCAGTATACATGCAATTAAGCACAAATTCTTAATCGTGGCATAAAAAAATAAAAATTAAAAAAAAACTGAAAAAAAGGATGAGATATTCCAAACATGGCTATTTTAAATAAAATTTAACTCACTTTTGCCTGCATTTCAATAAGGTCCTTCAGGGCAGGAATATCTCTCTCTTTTTTGAAACCCAAAGCAGTAAGACTTGTTTTTCCAAATTCTTTGCACAGGGCAGCTTTTACCTCCTCCAGACCAACAAAGCGACCTTTTTCTGACAAGGAAGTGATGATCTCTTCTGCTGCCTTGTTAATTTCACGAAAAGTAGCATTTCTCACAGATTTCCCCTTGCTTGTTATGCTATTCATTGCATCATGGGCATGGCTGATTGACTTCTCAAAAGGACCTGGAGTGCCAACTTCTCTAAGCCTTGTTTCCTGGTGATCAGGTGGAGAAAAAAGAAGCTCTCTTTTTGCTGGACTGGGTGTGCTCATGTCTTGCAGTAGCCTGTCATAGCTAGTATGAGGAGAGGGGCTGCCTCTAATAGCAAGCTGCATTTCTTCTTGAGCTTGTTGTTTCATGATTTCAAAAAGTGACAGTGGTGTGACCTGTGGACTTCCAGAAGAGGGGTTTGTCTTTTGTGCTTGGGTCCTAGGTAATTGAGCACCTGAGGGTACAGACACAAAAATTATGACATAATGATATTGAGGTAAGTACAAGAAAATCACATCAAACAATGAAATTTATTATTATAAAGCCATTTCCACCCAGGTATGCAATTGTGTGATCCTCATCAATCAATTAAAAATGGGCTAACAACACTTGTGGATCGTATATTAGAATGGCTTCCATGTAAATTTTAGCATAATTGATTAATTGGTAACATACATTAGGAGGCTGTTGAGTTCAACATTCAACCAGAAAAACAACCAAGTTCTTGAAATGCATGTACCTTGCACAGTCAGATCATTCTGACTATAATAATTATAATAATGGGAACATTACTTAATCCTAAATAATCCTGCAGGGGGGGAGGCCTGCTTCCCAGCAACAGGCTAATGGGGATGTGCCATTGGATGGGGTCCCATTTTTATAATTTAATTGATTACAATGGGTTTGCATTTTCATACAAGTTACTAGTCACCAAGAATAGGGTTGCACATTTTTCAGAAATTTTGGGGTTAAGAATATTCCATCTGGTGAGTAGGGATTTAAACAAAGGAAGATTGTCAAATAAAAAGTTGCTACTGGGCCATTCCATTTTAGAACTGCTTAAATGGTGAAATTGAAAATATTTCATATATAGCCCAATCATGGATATCTGGAATGAGGAAACCCTAAATTGTTTTAAAAATAGTAATCTGAAAGTTGACTTTGCTAGAAATGGCACAGAGAGGCTATTTATTTTTGTCCAATGAAAAGTGTGTGAAAATAGCTGGCATGCTGTAAGATTTAAAATGATTTTAGTTAGACACATTTATTCCCAAAATCTCACTAGGGGAACAAAACTAATTGAACTCAACACAAACGTGAACTTCCAGATAAGATTTTTTCCAAAATGGATGTACTTTGTAAATGAAAGCAAGTAACAATTTTGTTACGGACATCACGTAATTCACTGAAACAGTCATTTTCTCTGGAAATAAAAACCACAGGTTTTTTTTGTAAGCTTAACTCCTTTTTTTGAGTTTAGGGGCCCAAACTTAAGTGCTGCAAATTATCAAAATCTTAGAAAAACGCCAGAAAAAATAAAGCCTACTTTGTGTTACAGACATTATGTTATGGACATTATGTTATGGACATTATGTTACAGACATTACATTACGACATGACATTACGGACTACATTATGGACGTTATGACTGAATGACTTTTATCATATTAATTCTTTTGGGAGAAATAAATGGTACATGCAAACCAATTTTGTTCAAGTTTATCACATCCAAGTTTACAGTGCTTTTAACTAAACACTAATAACAATAACCATAACAACAACCATGTACATTAACAGTAGCAACAGCATCGTGACATGAGGAGTATAAATTTACAAAAACATGCAAGTCCAATGGTGAATTTATTTTTAACGAAAGACATACAGTTTTGAGTCAGTACCTTCTTTTAAAATATCTGAAGATAACAAAGTAAAAAAAAAAACATGTAATGTTTCAGAAATGCAGCATAAAACAAGTAAAAGGCCATTGCACTGACCATCCTCATATCACAGAGAAAAATGTCAATTCAAACAATTCAGTGCAGTGTAACATTCAAAATGGTGTCAACTGGCTTGTTAAGGGTCAATGAATAGTACTCTGACTGACAAATAGCAACACAGAGGGCTTATCCAATGTAAAACTTGGTCTCATACTAGAAATCTAATCTGCATTGCATCTCAGAAAGAAAGAACCAAAAGACAGCAGAAACACTAGTTAGAGCATGCTCAATAAAACTGAATTGTAAGGAGTATGCTCTATATGGGATACTCCACAGACCATAGTCACATGTACACACAAATTGTAGTATTAATGTTATGGTTATCAGCCCAACCAGAAAAGAGAATTAACTTGCATTGAGCCTGATTAAGAATACATTTATCAGTTCTGACAAAGTCAATTATCAAAAGTTCATAAATAAACAAAAACATTCCCTTATTCACAGTGTAATATCTGAAAAAAAAAATTGTGTAATGTCCATAACAGCAAGTTTTTAGCTCAAGCTCAAAATCAAACATAGAATAAGGGATGCAACTAGATTTTAAAAAGCTTAGAAGCAGTTTTGTTCTTACTATTATTAAAATATTTTTTTCTGAATAGTCAATTCACAGGAAAAAAAGTATCACATGAAATTGTAGGTTGATTTTTTTTGTACTGTCCATAACAGAGTTTAAAACAAAAATATTGGCAGTCTCTGTTAAAGAAAGGAAAGTTTCTTTTCTGCTGATAGGCAATTACTCTATAAGGAATGTCTGTACAAATTATAATTTCAAAACTGTGCAAAATAAGTTTGTTGTGGAAATTAGTCTCCAAAAAATTGGTCTCTGAATTTAATGTCCATAACATGGAAGTACTGTTTAATGGAAAGTGACTAAACTGGGGTCTATACTTGGCCAAATAATAAACTATTAATAATGGAGGGGTTCTGAGAGGCCAGCAGCACTTATACCAAGAGATAATTGACCCAAATACCCCCCCCCTCCCCCCAGAAACAATCACATCATTTACTGTGACAGCAAGCTGCTGGCCTTGTCTCATGGCATAATCAAAACAACAGGCTTGTAACAATTAGGAACTCAAATCACCTTAATTGGTAAAGAACTGGCAAATTAACCCTAGCAAAATAAGGCAAGGCAAGGAAGAGAAGGCAGTGCAGCCTGTAAGAATTTCACCCTCTTAAATATCACCAGACATTCTGTCCCACGTAAAAAGAAAAGCGGTTTTGCAAAATACATGAATCAAACAATCACTAGTGGGCCCCACCACCTCAATTCTTAACAGTCATTATCTAGCAACCTCTGGTCATAAAATGGTCACAAGAAAAAGAAAATCATTCAATTGTAAAAGAAAAAACAAAACAAAAAAAGAAAAAGAAATTGTACAATTTAATAGTATATATCATGCAAATGTTTCTCTCTCTTTAACTGTTGACCTGGGTCACTTCAAGGAACATCTGTGCAGGTTGGAGCATGACTGCCCAACAAAGGTCCCTATATTGAGAACTTTGTCATCTAAGAACCAAAATGCTCTCCAAATGTTTATAATAATATTTATCAGTCCCAGCAATGGACTCGCTACCTATTTTTCACTCTTCACACTTTACGCACTCACCTATTTTTCTTCTCTTCCCAATTTCCCTTCTTCCTCCCACAAGATTCAAACAGACAAAGTAAATTTGATTCACATACCTTTGCTTAAAACACTTGGTATTGGAAGTAAAGGTGTAGGCAGTAGTAAAGGAGATACAGTCGCAGATGCAGCAGATTTTACCAGTGATGGATCTATCTTATTGGGTTGGATTTCATCCTTGGCACCTAGTGAGATGGCAACTGTACTTGCAACGTTTGGAAGACCTTTAGATGGTGATCTTTCTAATCTAGCTGTAGCATCATTGGAATCTGACCTTTCCTGCTGACAGCTAGTGCCCGAACTGGAAGATTTAAGCTCACATGAATTCGATTCTTTCAATTTCATCAGGATGATGCTTTGGTTTTCGTTTGATTTTTGCAGTTCAATAATATCTAATGCTGCCATGAAACTGCTAAACTTTTTTCCTTTCAACAACGCACTATAGTGCTTCTCAAAAGTTCTCCCAAACTTTTGCTTGTACTCACTCTTGAATTTTGAAATATCCAAACAATGGCCATCACAAGAACGTAAAATTTTAACAACCTCTTTCTTCAGTTGATCCAGTGTTCTTAACTTATCGGTCGATTTCGAATCACTCGCCATGGCTGGTAACAATACCGCGTCAAAATACGCTAAACAATGGCAAAACCTGACAATTGCACAATCAAAACGTGCACAAATTGATCCTACGTTCAAGCGTTTCCCCAAAACTCTCCGTGTCAACGACTGGTAGGTTCGACGTCGATAATTCTGCCAAAATCTCGCTATATACTACGGTAAGATCTTGCATGACCATGCAAAACCTACCGGTGAATAAAAACCGCAACACATTTTTCTCAAAATGAAAGAAAGGTGTCACTTCCTTTTCCACCTTGCTCACCCAATTAAAACGCAGAAATGATTGACAATATCTTTCCAAGAAACCTCTAGGGTATACGGCACGAGGTTCCGAGAAATACGATTTCTACCAGGCGTTCCTTCTTGACCATTGTTTTCCATTTCCTCGTTCCAAATCTTTTTCATCCGCGACAAATGTTTCCGGAGGAGACTAAGATGGCGGATTAACTGTAGTGGTACCATGGAATAGTTTAATTAATTCCTGACCATCATAATAGCGGGTAGTGAAGAGAGAGATGTGAAGGTATTTACTTTGGAGCAACTTCAGAATACCCCGCAACTTATTTACATGTCATTGAATAAGAATAGCGTCTATTGTGTTATGCCTCGATCTTCAAAGCCTCCCGACACATGTAAATGAGTTGCGGGGTATTCTGAAGTTTAGCCTTTACTTTAATTTAGTTTCCTGGGATGTGCAAATTTTAGATAGGTAGCGTACGGCCAAGGACTTTTACTTAGACTTAAATCATCGAAAACTCTTTGAAAGTGTAATGTAGTTCAACTGGAACTCTCTTCAACATAGAACTTGAAGGGTAAAAAACTTCCATAGATAAGGTTTAGAACTCCGAAGGAACTTACTGCGTACAACTGTTTCAAAATTATCCATTTTGTCGGTAAGAATAATGCATTTAACAAGTTTGAGACAAAATTTGGACATTAACAACTAGTCAGGACCAAGGACAGAATGAAATCACAACAATTGCATCAATTTGTTGTGCGACATACAACTAGATACTGATGAAAACTTTGAAAAAAATCGACACAACTACTGAATTAAAAAAAAAAAAGGCAAGACGTTCTTTAATCAAAGTTATGAATGATAATTGCTGCTTCATTAAACAAATTATATTTCATTTAATTCTTCATTCATGATGTTATGAGCCTCATGATATTCTGCGCTCCAACTCAACAGTGGATCTGTTGTAATGTGCCATTTTTTACATCACACTGTACAATCTTTTTCTTCTTTTCCCCTTTGCTGTCATTATTATTAGAGAAAAAAAAACTTACTTCAGAAAATCACAGAAATTACTCCAAATTAATCCTAGCCTTAATTAATCATTGGCCATAATTTTATTGAGTTTAACACTTTGTGCTGTAAAACATAAAACAAATGTCACTTCTTAAAGGCTAAAAAACAAATAACAACAACATATAAATATGGTTAATTTTCAAATTTCAAGTAGGAAATGTAGACTAACAAATATTTCTTTTGCTGTCAAACAAGCACCAAGACCTTATCATTTCTTTCTTCATTTAATTGTATAAAATTCAATCTTTACAAGAATATTGCTTACACCAATTAGATTCATTAAGGTAAGCTGCTGGCTCTGATCAGATTTTTTCAGGTGTGTTAACACCAATTGGACTGCACATTACATGTAGATTCACAAGAGCATGATGCTTGCACCAATCAGATTCATAGGAGTATTTTGTTTCCACAGGAAAAATATTTAAAGGTATGTTACTCACACCAATCAGATTCCTTAGGTTATATTACATATATTTGCACCTGAATCAGATTTAATAGCAAAGGGTTTCAGTTGCTCCCACCAGTTAGACTGTTGCAGTTAGGTCTGATGCATTTTAAACAAGTTCTAAAGAATTGCTGCCATGGCTGGAAGGCAGCCATATTTGTGCATTATGTCAAGATGATAACCTGCAGTGGATGACAGCATTACCAAAGTGTCAGTGGTACTGCATGTTTGTCATGCACAGCAAATATTGGTTTATTTTGTCTTGTAGTTGCTCATTTGGCTAAAGTTGAGAAGATTTTTAATTTGTGCTTACTTTCTGCTTTGGATGCTTTTTTTGTTACTTCCTTTCAGAAGCCATGGTTTACTTCATGTGTTTAAAGAGTATTTATGTTACTGATCACCTTTGATTAGACTTTGCCTCATTTTGTGATTTTAGTGACCTTGAACTTTTTCTCATCACATGATAATTCTTTGCAAGCATCTTGCTTTTTATTGCTTATGTTCAATGCAAAGCAGGCAAAGTCTAGATGGGCAACAATTAGTCAAGGACCACTCACTGTTATGCCCAAAGTCAAAGCCTTTGAAATACAATCCTTTCCTCTTCATTCAAGACCTTTTTACTTTTTCAGAGAAAGCTGGGACTGCATAGTACCTCAGGTTAGGAATTAAAGGAGGTAAAGTAAAGTTTTTTGCTTTGCTCTCAGCAGTAAAATTACTTATGAATAAAGGGGTAAGTTTCTAAAGAAACCGTGGTGCTGCTTTGGTGGGAGAGTATTGCAGGTAATTTAGTGTTAACAACTGAGTTGAAAACGTAAATTAGCCACTGTAAAGGGTAAAAAAGCTGATGTTTTGAGAGTTAGCCCTTCGTCAGAGTGATTGCAATTGCTCTGATGAAGGGCTAACACTCAAAACGTCAGCTTTTTTACCCTTTATGGTAGCTAATTTACATTTTCAACTCAGTTGTTAACACGAAACTACCTAGTAGAATTACTTAGCCTAATATTTTTAAGACAAAGAACTGTTGCATTAAATGTCAGTAAGCAAGGCACGCATTCAGTTCTCTTTGCTTTTGTTTATCCAGAGAGGAGAGATGATGGACCAAGGAAAGTTTATAGTCAAGATAAATAAGACAGGTTTTTTGCTTTCCATTAAAGAAAATATTGTGATATAAAATCCAATAAATATAACTCTTACATGCAAAGCCTGTCTGTGTTGAGAATCCTAAATTGGATGTACTTGAAGTAAGATGAGCCAAGTAATGATTTGAATGGTTCAAAGAATCATTCCCACAAGATCAAAGATTGTGGTGACAATCTCTCTTTAGTTCTTCTAATTTAATGGTTGAAGCTCACTGATGACAACTTGCCATGACTGTTTTCATTTGAGTACAAATGTCAGCAGCATAACTGCCAAAACTTAACTACACTTGCAACCCATTGAGGTTATAGGTTCTTTGAAAAACTACAGGAATGGATATTTTCTACCAGATATCACCAGCAAAGTTTAATGATGGTTTAGTAATCAGCAGATCATACATTTCAAGATTATGGAAAGCTATTTTTACTGTTTGTTGAAGTTTACTGAAATGATCACATCTATGTAAATCATTTACCTTACCAAGAAAAGCAAACCCAGTTAAGAGTGTTTGAATTTCAAGTTCCCAGTCTCATTTGACCATTTCATTTACAAATGAAATCAGACAGAAAAGGACCATATATTAATAATCCAATGTCCTTACCGAGACTAGGGAAGTGTTTCTTTTTTTTTTCTTTTTTTCTTTTTGCCCTAGAAAAGCAATTTTTACCCAATGTTCAAGTCTTCTACCTTGGTCTCTCCTTTGGGTTATCTCCAGTGACTCTTAAATGTAGAATAATCTTCATCCAATTGAGAGTAAATGGACCAAAACTGTCTTATAATTCCATCATTTTAAAAGGAAAAAATTGAAAAAGAAGCCCTTGACTGTGCAAGGCTCTCTGGGCCCAAGAAACTTGCAGAGAAACTTACCAAAAAGTTGGCGCGTGGTAAACGGAACAAAAGAAAACAATCTGCAGCCGTTTAACTGACAAATGTGATCGTCATTTGTCACTCACCAGTTCCATCTTTTGCCTTCATTGACTGGGAGCCTTGAATGGCCTATGTTGGCCTTAGCAAATTTTATGAAGTAACAGCTATGAAAATTCATTTTATTACCTGAACCTATTGTCTCTCCTTGTTGGTATGCTGATATTTGTTCTATGGGTTGCTCAGAGAATTTGTTACAATGTTGAAATTGTGGTTATAGATCACCAAAAATAGAGCATTTCGAAAACTTTCCTCCGATGCTCACCATGAAATCATAATTGAGCACGAACAAGATGAATAAGCAGTTCTCATCAAAGGGGGCACTTTCACAGGACAACGGTGTTACATTTTTCTCGATGATGAAGACACCTATGCTACATCAACAACACAATGAAGGTGTTTACTGAGTCTTGAACCTTACAAGGTAAATTTTGGAAAAATTTATTCAATCTTCGAAGCATTGAAAAAGAAATCATGCTTAAAACTAACTCAACGTTACAACCAAGAATAATGCACATCTGACACAGGGAGTAAAACATTGAACAAGGTCAACCGTAAAGGTAAGCTGGTCAAAGCGATTTATAACTTTCCAACGTTTGAATATGAAGCGTTATTTACATGTTGGTGCTGTTCTACCTTATTGTACAATACTCGGTAGCATTTGCCTACAAGAAGCCTATCTTTTTTTGTTCGGTCTTTTCTTACAAACAGAACCACGCTTAACTTGTTTTTCTTAGGGTTGTCATAGATCAAAATGTTTGAAAATACGTCGAAGAGAATCTATCATTGCTCTTAAGACGTTCTTAAAGAAGCATCTAATTTCTGTGCTATCGATCCAAAAGACTTTTCGAACTAGTTTTATAACTACAAAAATCAACTGAACTTTAAGTTATCACTTGCTTAACTGTTAATATAAACGCGATTATAAAATTTAAAATTCAGATAACCAGACAAAGTTTTACAGCCTTCTTTTCTATGTGCTCAGCAAGGTTTTGAAGACGACGAATTCGCACGTTTTTAGGTTTGCCTGCGTTAAAAACACGATAAAGATGAAATGCATCCTGGTGAGCACGCGCGAATTGAAGTTGCTGAACCGACAGTTCAAAGATATCCTTTTGGTCAGAGGACGTTGTCTTCACTTCAACATATGTTAATACTGGGCGGCGATCGTCGCCTCCTCTGACACCATTACGTCGAATCTCGATGTCGTAAGGCGCAGTTGTGTTTCCTTTTTCGTTAATCCAGACAATTTCCACTGAACCAGAAAGGTCACATCGCGCTTGCTCCTGAAGAAACTCAAAAACATATTCTTCCCCCCATCGGCCTATTTCTTCTCTATTAGGGTTCTCCATCAACGGAAGTACGTGCATGGTTCTCATTTTGTCATTGATGGGAAGATCTTCGTCGTCGAAGTCATATGGACCTTTATCAAACCAGAAACGCGCGCCTCTGGAAGAAGCGTGTCTGGTTAGATCTTCTGGGATGGTGACTGCAGACTTTTCTCCAGGTGAGGGCATTTGATGCGGAGAGGGGTGGATATGGATATGGCTCTTCTTGCCTCTGGGACAAAAATCGTCTCCTGCCTCAGTAATATTAAGCTGTGATTCATTTACCTCAGCACCCTCAACCATTGTCTCAGCTGGCCGGTGGTTATCGTTTGGAGTTTGGTGTTGGATTGGATTGACTTCAGCAGGATGTTCGTGCTCTGTCTTCGTTTCATCTCTCTCCCGTGGCTTTCTTGACACTTGTGAGCTCTTAATATGCGGTTGCCCAGGTGTTTTCTGAACCAAGTTAAATCGACCTGCGGCTTTCGGAAGTTTATCTACAGATTCAGGGGGCGCTGGCACAGGCCAAATCTTGAACTTGGGGTCACTTCTGGTTTCTCCTCTACGTTTACACGACTTACCATAATGACGAGAAGATTTTGGTGGCCAGGAACGAAGACTATCGTTACCTGACCTAGATTGGGCTTGGGTTTTGTCAAGGGAAGGAACATCTTCATTTGTAGCACTTCTTTCGTTTTCATCCTTTTCGGGTTCCTTTGGAGGTGGAACACTCCATCGCTCTTCTCGTTCCGGTAATGGTTCCAACCCTTGCACGTCTTCCAAAAACCCTTCGAAATTATCCCCGCTGTGAGTTTTCACTGCAACTAGAAAGTTGGTTAATTCTGAGGAGCCCTCCTTTTTTCCTCCTAACAACAGTTTAGCCATCTCAGCATTTAAAACATCTGCACGCTCTTGATGTTCTTGCACAACGAAAAAACAGGACGTGATTCCTAATTCCTGTATGCCCGATCTTACTTTAAGGGGCGTGGCTACGTTGGAATGCGTGGTTAACGAGTACAAAGTTTCCAGGCTCTGAACAGAAGCGAACTGCATGTGTAGCAGTTTCTCTGCGAAGCCTTCATTTTTCAGTTTATCATATGCAGATGGGTATTTTGAGTATAGGAAACGTTGCACGTATGGAATGTTTTGGTGAAAGAACTTCTGCACGGGAGTACACTGGTACTTCACTGAACCAATGGGAACCAACTCTTTCTTTATGCACCCACTTAACGCTTTTACTTCACAGATCATCAAGAATAAAGAAACAAAGTGCTCCATCTTGTCTCTATCGAATTGATGTTCAAATGCACGACTAGTCGAGCCACGTTTTTGCGGTTGAAAGAAGTCTCCGAGGTCCAGGAAGTAGACAGATTTTTCCTTATGAAAAATCTTCACCATAGCTTTATCGTCAGCTATCAGCGGTTGATCCGAAAGTGCCACCCATTTGTCAGATGTAGGAAAGATGCGTTCACCTTGCAGAGATTTTTTCACAAAAGCGGCCATATTTTCATCGATTTTCTCTTCAACCTGTGTGCTGTTTTTGAGGCTTAGCGAAACACACTTGCGTCCCAAAGTTGCAAAGATTTTTAACATATCGCTCAAAGACGAAGAAGTTGGAAAACCAGCAGCGTCAGCAACAGTCGTCGCCATTTCGATGTACTCGTCCACATTGGGGGTAAGGTCCACGTCCATTTGATCCACAAAAAAACCTCCAAGACTCTGATTGGGGCCACTACATGCATAGAAACACCCTAGTAGGCGTCTTATGGGAACCTTGCCGTGCTCCTTAAACAGTTTCAGGGATATATCTGTCGGGTCACTCCAGCACACTTCTTTCTTCAAAAGAAATGATCCTGATACTTTGCATTCTGGCCGGCTTGGGAGAAACTCTAAATGGCGATCGCGATGAGGAACGAATATCAGCGCGTTCTGCAGAAAAGCCTCAGTTATTTTCTTCCTTTCTTCATCACTTTGCGACATTTTCTCAGAGAGGAAAGAGTAAACTCTGCTCATATGTGCAATAGAAGTTTTGAAGTCTTTTCGTCGATTTCTATCCATCTTTTTGTCGCAACCATCTGACCACCTCCTCAACTCATTGATCATCCCATCTACGCCAATCGATTTTCTGATGCCTAAGGCGCTAACAAACGAGGGGCTCTTTAAATCTGCGCTAACGTAATTCACGTGATCCCCGAGTAGGTGATATACAGCGTCAGCCTTCACGAAGAGGTCGCTTGGAAGATACAGGTTCGTCCCTTCAACTGTAGAGGGCATCCACGGTTTCGAGACAAGATTGAGGTAAAATGAAGATTTAGCCTCTCCGAGAACATGGCCATTTACATCTTTAACTTGTACATAGCCCTCAGCAAACTGTGCGTACGTGTGATCCCAACGTGCATCAATACACTGAGCTAAGAACTTTGACTCATTGCTGACGACTTGTTGTTTAGTGTCGGAGGAGTTAATCTTACTGAGAAATTCCTCAAATTCTTCACACGCCCAGTCGTCAATGATGAAAAGATCATCTGGGGTTGTCTGCCAAATTCGCTCATACGACTCCCACGGAGAGCAAGCCTAAAAACAAAAACAGAATTTAACCTTTCTACCCTTTTTAAGGTATTTAAACTGTGGTACACCCAATAGCCTTTTCTTTATTGGACCAGCAAGCCGTTATCATCATAAGATTGGGATCAGATTGGTCATCAGATCTGCGGCCCCGATTTCAAAATTTGACATGGTGTCAAATACAAACAACAACACCAACAAATCGGCCGGTAGATGGACCTAAAATTAGGAAGCGTCCATCATTCATTTCCAAGTGATCTGATCTCAATTGTCTTGGCTCACCATGTTTTTTCGATGAAGCTTTACTTGTTTCTTTTCAATAGCAAGAAACTGTTTTAAGCCAAGGTCGTCTAAAAAAGTTTTCCAATCCATGGTGCGAACCCTCAATGAAGTACGATAGTCCAAGTAAGATTCGTCAATAATTGTCCACGAAATACCTAAGCAAAAGAAGAGGAAATTACATTAAGTGAATTAGTAAATAGTATCTGACTTTCTGCTGAGTGACTTTCATTAAGCTACTTAATTTATTCAAATTAGCCATACCCCATTAATGTTTATACAAGGGGATGAGGACGACATACAACACACATAAAAAAAAGAGCGACTCGAAGCAAATATAAAAGAACTACCACAATAATTACAGGTGACTTACTGGGAAACTGCCGAGCGAGGTCAATTGGGCCCCCGTATTTGGGGGTAAAATGAATCGGCGTTGATTTTGGGTTCAGAGTACCCTTGTTCGTTAAAATCTGTACACAGGATCTCAATTCATCCATATCACACACAGAAGGGTCGTTCAGGCGCTCTTCCAAAATGCACACTAGGTAGCTTCTCAATACTTCATCAGACTTACACTGTAAAGATCACGAGAAATATCCGTGTTAGTAGTAATTCTTGACCCCAACTGCCAGAGATCTGTACCCATAAACCTAACCAATCAGTTCCAGAAAGGAGAAGTTTTTGTTAGGGCTATGATGCGTGAAGCGCAAAAACGAAGGGTGAAGCCGCGAGAGGTTTTGAATAGTTTCTCAACTCTAAGCTACGATGTTCGTTTTTTGGTTCAACCGTTTTTTTTTTCAGCGAAAAACCTCAACATTCAGCAGCTAAGCAGAACAGTTTGAAAAGGTGACTACAAAGACACACGATCGATGACGCGAAACGAACGCACAAAAAAAATATAGGGATACCGCAACTTTACGAAGTAAAATAAAGACTGGCACGGAAGCCTTTGTGTCCAACGGTGTGCTTCATATCACCGCCAACGTGTAAGAAGAGGCACGCATGTCATAACACACTTACAAGATGGCACGCCATCGTAGAACTAAACTTAAGACTACACGCTCCCCTTGAATTTGAAAGTAAGAAGAGAGTTCATCTACAACTATTGTACCTTCCACTGCTTTGACTTGAACACTGGGATAATGTGATTGTTAATGACTTCTTTTGGAGTCCACATTTTTACTCCTAGACGCCTTAAAAGCTGCTCGACTTGAGAACGACCAATATCATCAAGTGCAGATAACAGTGATGGATGCACTGTTGGTAGGTCTTTCTCCAGCACGGAGAAAATTGTTTTCTCCTGATGCACGAAACCTGGAATTACACATGTCCCAAAGTATATGCATTAACGGCAAGAAAGTCTAAATTATTTCCTAGCAATGAGTAATAGTACTGTTGTCAACGCCATTTCTATTACTTGCGTGTCACATGTTTGTCAGGTTCATTTTGGGTCTTGTTAGCATGATACAACCATGTAGAAGTTTGCATGACCAATTTTGGTCAAGTTGGGTTTTGAACGTCTGTTTTGGCATTGTGCCCTGGATATCTGGAGCACAGATCACGACCTCGGTATGGATTATAGCTAAACTACCACTTTGATTTAACACTAGATATCTAATAGCTTAAAACAGCTTGAAATATTTATCAGAAAGCTCCACGTGACAGATGAATGATACCATGCATACAAAATACAGACTTCTTCCTTCACAACGAAAGGGATGTAGGACCCACCTTTGTTCTTCTTTGGCACAGCTCCCTCGGATGTTTTTTTCCTCGACAGCGGAAAGAAAATGGAATCCTCCTTCACGTTCACGAAAGATCCATCCGTTAGCGGAATCACGTTAAGAGAACCAATCAAATCTAGCATTTCTTGACTGCTATTTCTTTCCTGCTCGAGACATCGGTACATGCACTGCAACCATCGAGCTACCCAGGCTATTCTCCCAACATCCGGTTTACGGTCATTGCTATGCGGTGTTACTGCTGAAGCTTTCTTTACTTCCGCTTTCCCAATCTCAATCAAGTGCTTTATAGACAAAGTCTCGATTCCAAGACGAGATCTCAAGGTTGGGTTTAGTACTGGAACCATTTCCGGATGAAGGTAACTCAATCCTAGGTGCTCCTCCAGAAGAATAGAGGGTATAAGCTCTTGTATGACGCTGTCTTCACAGACAATGGCCTGACAAGGGAGAACCAAATCGCAGCTTTTTCCATTGTCACCTCCGTACGGCTGCTCAGTTTCATTGCTGGACCTCTTAACTGGGATACAAGGTTTCCCTTGAAGGAGTGTTAAGATATGGCGAGCAACAGGTGTAAAAAAGTCGAGAATTTCCTCCTCAAGAGGTACAAATTTAAAATACGACACCAATGAAGAAAGGCCACAAAAAGACGAGTGGTCCTTCAAAGAAAAGAAATAAACATCTTTTACTTTAGACGTTAATGATAATTGTACGACATCTTCGTGTAGAACATGGCAAATTGGAAGGTACTTTCTCAAAAAAAATCCTCATAGCTGATAGCTGCAAAGCTCTAATATTTGAATTAGCACAAATTGCAGTTTCTCGGCTGAAAATTATTAACACATTTGAATATTTGTCTTTACTCTACGCGCTTAGTTACAAATTTACGTCTTTGCCAGTACAACGAACAAATGCAGCTAAGAAGACGACAGACCATGGTTCATTAAGCGTGGATCACTGCCACGCATATGTATGTAAGATGAATGAAGATCTTCCGTGCTTGTAAATTGAATTTTGGTCGAGCTTAAATATGTAAGATCCATGGTTCTAAGCCGTTCACAATTTGATTCGTCCCGAATGATAACGTGTTCCAGTTTCATTATGCACTTCTCTATGAATTTCATTTTCAAGTTACGCTAATGACAATCCCACACAATCAGAGTAAAGCAGAAGGAGAAAGATTTATTAAAAACTAAATAATTTGTGCCCACCATAAATACCGACATAGCGTCGATAAAAAGTTGTGGAATTTCCTCTCTCAGCCACTGATTCCAGGATTTGTCACTGTGCACATCTTCTCTTGACGAAGGAACCTCAAAGTCACCTTGAATGATGAATCGAAAACCATAGCTTCTGAGTGGAAGATACGCAAAGACATTCTGTGGCGGCAATGCCTGTGCAGGGTAAAATGTTCAATACGTAAGCTGGTCCAAGAAAAATGACACTCCTGTATGAAGCACTGATTGATTTATTGCATGAATAATAGGTCGACGAATAAAGATACAGATAGCTAGATATAAAGATATATTTAACAAATAGATTCCAAGTTGCCGCGCGTCTGTTCATTATTTATTATATAAAACAAATAGATTCCAAGTTGCCGTGTGTCTGTTCAGTAATAGATCACAGAGGACATCAAAATGTGGTAAGTATATCGGTGACACACACGGCTGCGCCTCGTGTGCCACTTTTTAGTTCTTATCACATTTTGATGTCCTCTGTGATCTATTACTGAACAGACACACGGCAACTTGGAATCTATTTGTTTTATATAATAAATAATTAAAATATATGGAAAAAAAGTTTTAATGATGACGTCATCTGTACGTCTGTCCTTCAATAGATCATAGGTGAGAACCAATCAGAATGCGTGCATAACTGAGCTTATCATATAAGATCCAAAATTTTGATAGGGTCAAGGGCTACGAATTCTTTAAGCTATTTGTGTAGTCCGTCTCAGATTAGTGCCTCGTCTTGAAACAATAAAGCACTCTCTAGTGCATGTTATATTAAGCAAAGATATGTTTAAATACTCTGGATCACAACTCTACAGAGTACAGAGCTTTCTTAAAGACTTTAAGTGATAAAACGATACTTTACCTGATGTCTTGATGTGTTGCCTGATTCACCAGTCAATGGAAAAGCCAGTGCCAACTCAGTTATCTCTACGTCTGCTTTCATCTGGAAATTGCAACGACAAACAAAAACAAAGGTAAGACGATTTGCGTTGGTAATCACCTGTTACAGGAAAGTATGGAAATTCATTGAAAAACAATCACTATTTTCTCTGAGGCAACAGCTACGCTGCAGAAGCAAAGAAATCGATAATTACAGCAACGGCAAAAACAAAGGAAAATAATATAAGCCATTAGCTACACTCCACACGAAACAATTAAAGTATTGATGGTGGGTGAATTTCCTGGCATCACTACTCTGAGGAAGGGAGGGAAAATAACCCAAACAACCTGGCTTCTAACAAAGACAATGTTCCATCATTTTCCCCATCCCCTCTTCGAATAAATATGAATGATACCTCTGACCCGTTCTTGCCCGCAAAGACAAGCAACAAGGTATGCTAAATGCATAAAGGGGGGTAAGTTTCTAAAGAAACTGTAGTGCTGCGTCGGTGGAAGAGTGTAACTCGTTAATTTACGTTATCAACTCAGTTGATACTACCAAATTACCCTATGCTAAATGCGTGTTTCTTACTCTAGCAGCCTCAAGCTGTTTCTTGACTACAAGCCAGCGCTCTGTGCCTGTGTTGTGGAGAACCTCCATGACATTATCTCCTAGGTCTCTTCTTAGCATTTTAACAAAACTCTTGTTTACCTAAAGAAATACGATTGGCAAGCTTACGTAAGCTTCTGGAACATCATACCTTTTCACAAAAGTAATATAGAAGGGAAATTCAGATGCTTAATCGTCCACAAATAGTTTTTGGTCCAAAGAACGAAGTGATCGGATTGAAGAATAAGTGAGGGAACGGCTAAAGTATTAAACTCGTTTGTTATGTCAAGGTTGTCGCATTAAGGGGAACGTCGCACGGCGGAAACTTTCAGGGCCGGTTATTTAAACGAGGTCTAACCCAAACCGCGATTTTACGCAATCAGTGGACCTCAGGCTTTCGTTGATATAATTAACTAAATTTCCTTCCAATGTTAGCTTTCCGCCCTCTTGAGACTTTTCAATCACTGTTCAAATAAAAAATGTAGCTAAATTGAGGATAGTTTAGGACGTGGTTTTGTTAAACAACGGCTAAATTTTGTTTAAATAACCGGCCCTCATGCTTTCAAAATTATCCCATAAAAAAAAATAGAATATGCTGAGGAAATCAATCGAATGTGTCCTCAATAAAGTATCTTCTCAAAGGAAAATAAAGTGAAGTAGAGTTGACAGTATGAGCAACGACGTCCCTCGCATGTGACACTTTAACCAATCAGGAATGACCAGAGGAGGCGAATACCCTTAACAGAAACACTTCCACGGGCGTTCTTGCACTGGTCACAGCTTTTCCCTTGTAGTCAGAGGTCGGCTGTCGCCTTACTGTCACTTTTGTCCGAGTATTTCAATTCTTTACTTCAGACTGTATTACCCCATGGAGAAGGAAGAAAGATTTATTAAATTGGTGCTACCTACTAGCTTTTTTGGCAGATAAAATAAGCTCACAATTTCATATAATTCACAAACAAATTCATCTCCCACCTCGTCGTATATAAAGATTCCCTTCAAACGATGTAAGAACAGCAATAAAGATGGGTGGACATCGTGAAATCCGGCAACGAGTGAAGACTTTTTGTTCCCTTTATGTTCATCTTTTAATGGAAGAATGATACAGGTTGGCCAGCTACCAAAAAGAAAGAATCACGCGCATGACGCTCAAGTAAAAATCAATTATAAATAATATTAATAAACTTTAACAGCAGAGGATATAAGGAGAGAAAACAAGCCACGACCGATTAACAAGCTCCAACGCATCTATTTATGGTGTGGTGCTACATACTAGCTTTTTTGGCAGATAAAATAAGCTCACAATTTCATATAATTCACAAACAAATTCATCTCCCAGCACATGACTTCACCTGTTCATGCTTTCGCCAATGTTGCTCAATTCACCATCTTTATCCATCTTTTCCATGACTTTCGTTCCTTCTTTGATATGCTCACCATTTGGTTTCACTGAAAAATTGTCTCCAATCCACTCAGGGAGAATATGACCAATAGGACCACTTTTGGCGTCAAAGCGAATATGATATCCATTGGAGTGAACTTCAGGGCTATCACTAACTCGGAATACAGACTTGAACCCGATGCCTTTTTGTCCTGAAACAAAGCCATATCGAGAACATGTTCGACTACAAATGCAACGAGAGAAAAGCGCAAAGCAGGCGACCATTGGATATAAGCTCTTTCAGGGCTTCTTGCCCAAATAGGAAAGTCAGAAAGATATTTACCATGCAACAAATACGTAAATACTGCACTAACCGATGTATCCATAGCGATACGCCCCTTTGGTACTTCTGCCAACATCACACAACGCGCGTATATTCTTCTCAACAAATCCAACTTCGTTGTTCAATATCACGATCCTGTCCCGCTCGAGGACGAATACAAGGGTCGGGAATCCTGGGCCACAGCACACTTCAGGATAGGAATTATCGTCTGCATTCTGAACGAGCTCCAACAAAAAGTGGGTGTCCCTGGTGTAAAGATCGGAGGAAAGACGGTGTAAGCCACGACCCTCTCTCTCGCGGTGTCGCTGAACAAGTTTGGCTTCCTCTTTTCCAAGCTCTAAACCGATTCCAAAATCCTCACGGCGAATTTGTTCAATTATTGCCCTGCATTCCCTGTTAGGTGTGCATGGTCCTGATGGTAATGCTGACAATCCACCCTTAGTGTCTGAAGTTGCTGCTGGGATTATCGAAAAAAGACTATAATCACGATCAGGGATCACGCTTTCATGAAAAACTCAAACCAAAAAATTATAAGTAACTCATAAATAAATTCGATAATGATCAGATAACAGTCCGATGGCCACTTCCAAAGTAATCATATGACTAGAAGGCGTGGTAAACATACCTTATAGACTGTAGATCAGAGGGGGAAAGTACATTGAAAACATAGGAGATGAAAACAAAGGAAGTGACAGGAGAACGGGAGGGGCAGCATAAAAAGCTGGGAGTAGATTTAGGAAGGAAGAAGGAAGGAAATATAACCAAATAAAAGTAGACAGCTATAAATACCTTCGTCCCCATCCTTTTCATCAAAACTGCATGCTTGTGGGAAGATTGTTTTAAGGTTAGCAGTGGTCTAAAAAAAAACACATGTAGGAAAGCGGGGTGATTTCGATTGTCTTTACTATGAAACAGTTCCTCTGTATACCATGATACACTTTTACGACAAAATGAAACGCTCAAAATGCATTTAAGGCTACAATTTTGATAACTTTCTATAAATATCTAAACGTAAAACATAGTGGTACTGTACACACTTCCGCTTGTTGCGACACCAATGAGATAGAAGATGCCACGGGCCTAACAGCTGTGATCAATCTCTTGCTTTCGTCATTGTAGTGCTCATTAAAGAGGACACCCTCGCTGTCCCCTTTGTCATGAGAAACTCTTTCCTGGAAGTCCTCTATCCACTGACTTATGCTAAAGGCAAATCCCAGCTGGTGAAGACGGTTACGTTGCGACTGAGTTGAACAGCTTGAAAGCAGCAGCGACGCCGCTCTTGTTGAACCAACCAACTTTGTGAAAGGCTCAAGAAAAACCTGAGAAATGCAAGTACAAGCATGAAATGCGTATATAGTATCAATCAATTGCCAAAGTAATACGCGTACGTGCTGAGAACGAGCTTATCACGATTCACAAAGGAGTTTTAAATAGCGTTAGGAGCTGCAGCTTTACTTGAAGTATAAAAATATGTCTCCGCATCGTTGCCGGAGGCGTGTTACTTAAAAGTTCCGGTAACTATAGGGCCCAAAACCATATTTCAAAAAACTAAATCTAAGAAATAGTAATGAAGGTCTTGTCTAATACTTTAATTCATAAACTATTCCTGTCTTGGTCTCGAATTGAAACACAACAAACAAAAAACAGGATAAACTTAACGAACGAGCAACAAAAGAACATAAATAAATTTTCGGGACAGGTAACTACCGAGGCTTTCAAGAATGGGTTTCTGGGCCGTTAAAGCTATTGTTTCGCTCCGTTTCCCTACCACTAAGACCCCTCTCCTCTGTAAAAGAAAGGCTTACAAAATCCGATTTTGCTACCGACTCGAATAACTTTGATATGCCCAGGAAAAGAAGGGAAGGAGGGGCAGGGCAGAAAGGGGAGAAGGTGTCAGTGTTTCAGGCCTTTGGCCAGTGAGCTACAAACCTTTTTCCCAATTGCCTGAGCCAATCTGAGAGGCATACGATTCAGACATTCAAGAACAAAGGTTGGACGTTGATCACAGTCCCCCTCATCGTCAGTACCCATCGATGCCAAAGAGGAATACACGTAATTGGCTAAAAGAGCGACAGGAGTGTTAGCCACACCACCATTCACTATAACTATGGAAACCAAATGGCCAGCTGCTCCAATCACATCCCCACACAATAAACATTTCCTGAATATTTCTGTGGACGTGTGGGTAGTTACTCTAAGGAGTACACCAGGATTAGTTTCCATGACGACTAAGGAATTGTGGCCCTCTGACAATGGCTTTTCAGCACTCCATAAAATTCCTTCATTTTCCAAAAATGACTTCAAGTCGCCAAGTTTAGACACTTCGCCGCCGAATACATCATCCCAGTGAGTCCAGAGGGAAACATCCTCGAGGAGCGGAGTGCTTTGTATGGCATCTAAAGCTTCCTGTTTGCTCTTATAGCCTAGAGCACTGCGAGTACTAAAGCTGGCGCTATCTTCGTCGAAAGCGCCAGCGCCGTGACACAGGAGAGCGACTTCGTAAACTGTCGTTAGAGTTTTCACTCTTGGCTCCGCAGCTTTTTTCAGTAGGCACGAAAAAGAACCAAATCCGAGATCCGTCACTTTGTTAACATTGTAGTAACCGCACAATTCACGTTCAATACACTCCTACAAATAAAAAGTAACAACAACTTTTGACTGGATTATCCGCAATAAAACAGTATAGGCCCACGTAAAGAATTACGTTTTGTAGCGAGCCCAGAGAGTTTTCGCTTTGGTATCGGATCCTGAGCATTTTAAGGTTACATTGTGATTATTGCAAACTGGTAATCTGCTTCATCCTCGGCCATCTAGCCATCCGTGGCCCTTGCTCGTCTCTTTGTCACGTTTGTAAATCTATCTTACTGAACTACCATTCTTTGGTTTCCTTTGCGTAGAAGGTAAATTTATCCGTTGGGAAAGAATGACTGATCATACCGGGACTACCAAAGACTACTTATTTTTTCCTGAGTTAAATACTCTGGAAAGGAATTGTGACTGTGATGCACCCACACTGATAGCAGACGTTTTATGCGTAGCACCTCATTCATGTACCTTATTAGTATCATTAGGAAGCAAAACTTACGGTAAAGGTTTGAGTTCCACATTGAGATATAAAATCCAAGACACTATTAAGCGGCACTTGACAACCAATCCTTGCTCCTTCTCTTCTAGACTGGGCCATTCCGCCAACCTCTTCCGTGGCTTTCTTTAGTTTCTTGTGTTTCGTTAAAAACTTCAGAAAAGAGCCATAACCAAATTCTTCAAAGCCGGTAAATCCTGGGAATTTGTTCACGACATTCGCCTCAATTCTTGCCAGCGTCGTTAGGTCAACACTTTCGGCACACTTAATCCACTCCTGCACTTCACAGACAACGGCGCCTATTTCACAGATACGTACAAACAAAAACGAGCAAAAAACGAAAGAAATTATTTTTCTTCGTGCATAACGTCGCTTGATACATGTCTTAATTCAGGACCTCTACATTCCGCAACACTTGCGAAAGAAAGGTTTGGAAAAAACAAAAGAAAACGAAAAAAAAAAAACAAGGAAGCACAATTCCAGTGACAACTCTTACAGCCCTTCCTTTGATGGAGATATATATATATATATTTTTTTTTTTTTTTTAAGCGAAGGAAGTCTCCCGTGGTTAGTTAACCACAAGGGACGGAAGAACAAAATTTAAGCGATTGACATGGATTGTAAGCGATGAATCTGAAGAGCAAAATAGTCAACGTTTTCCAGATATGAAATCCTTTGCTACTGTAGTTCATTGAAGGTCATTACATCAACAAAGATAACTTCGTTTTTCAAAATCAATAGGAATAGCAAAATCGAACCTCCCGAAGCTTGGATACCGACGATCAAACAATACAACCGATTTATAAGGACCTATGAGGGAACACCATCTAACAACCGGAATAATAATGAGGATTGAAATACACCAATAGCAGCGTACCAACGTGCCACAAATTGCGACACGTAAACAATCGACCTTATCGCCTGATGAAGACTAGCAGTATTGCAGTCGAAACATCGCGATTAGCATCAAAAGTGAATCTATCGTGAGGCAAACGAACAAAGTTTGTCTCCCATCATAATTATACTATGAAACAGCATAATGATCCCAATAATAACACAATGATATTAATATTAAATGATAATCATCATTAACAGCGAAACAAAATAAACAAAACAAAAAAAAAGAAATGAAATGGAGAAGTAATTAATTAATTTACCTTCACTGGGTGGGACAGGCCTTGTCCTCGTTTTCTCGTGATTTGCTTTACGGTTGGCAACTTCTGTGTTGATCTTAATGTTAACCAGTTCTTCCATAGCCTCTCCCAGTAAGGGCTTACAACTAGCACACAGCGCCAGCTGAAACAATTGCCTCCCAAGTTTGTGCTTGGTAAGCATGGTCAGAAAGGTCGTTACCTTTCCCTGACGATTTTCGTCAAACATTTCCAAGCAACACTCGAATACCGCCTTCAGTACATCCGTCGGAGATTTGTCAAAAAATTTCATAACACAGCTCCTTAAATCACCAAGTTCTTGCCCGAGAAGGTCTCTCTTGATTTTACGCAAGCATCTTTGAATTTCTTCCTCCATCTCGATCGACATTTCTTCTCTGATAGCTCCCCACCTCTCGGTCTTGGAATGTTTCACTTTTTTAAGCATCTGACGAATTAAACAAAGAAAAATCAACCATACGTAAAGATGAGGACCAACATTTCAGTCACTCACTCACTACAGTATACTGCCTTCATGTGTTCATAGTTTCTAAATGTGCTCTTTGAAATAACATTACCACAACAGCCAGTCCAAGGCTTTGTATTCTGACTCCCAGCTCGTAAGGAGTGTAACAATGATACTGCTCACAAAGATACTCCAGGAATTTCTCTAAATATAGCGTTCCTTTCATCTTTGACATGTACTTGTTCAAGTGCTTGATAATTTGAACTGTCGTCACTTGAGGTATAGCGGTAAGACTCTGGGGCGCTTTAAACATGTTATACACCACGGGTTGTTTTATTAGAGGGCCCAGTCGGAGCTCTTCGAAGTCTGATTTGGAACCCAAGTCGGCAAGGCTTTGGTTTAATTCGTACAAGGTTGCTATACTGTTGAATGTGACGTAAGCATGGACGAATAAGTTAACCTGTAGAACGCACGAAAACCATGGAATAGATGAATAATAATAATAACAAAGATGATGATTTGTTGGTAACGTTTCTACAGAGTTGCTCAACATTTACCTATTATCTGATATAATCAAAACAAAAGAGGAGAGGAAAAAAATTAATTAAAAAATACAGTCAAACCTATATAAAGCGGCCACCCACGGCTTAATACACAAGGCTCGAAATAATATCGCGGTTGGCACTGGTCAAGTTGACCGGTCAAACTTATTTTTTTCTCGGACACAACCCATTTTTCTCGACCTCTCGACCCAAACCTCCCCTTGATTTTTTCACTGCTCCGCAATTATCGCACTTCGTTTTACAACCTTGGTAATCAGATCTACATGAACTCACTTTGGCCTGCATTTCAATCAAGTTCTTCAGAGCTGGGATATCCTTGTCTGTTTTGAACCCCATTTCAATAAGACTTGATTTTCCAAAATCTTTACAGAGCCTGGCTTTTACTTCTTCGAGGCCAACAAAGCGACCTTCCTCCGACAAAGAGGTGATGATCTCTTCCGCGGCCTTGTTTACTTCATGTGAAGAAGCATCCCCCACAGCTGATTTTGCGCCGCCCGTTATGGTATTCATCACATGATGGGCCTTACAGATTGAATTCTGAAAAGGATCCGGCGTACCAACTTCTCGAATTCGTGTTTTTTCAGAAGGAAGTAGTTCTGGTTTAACCTCTACATCTGTTGGTATTTTCAGTTCAGGTTCTTTGCCTTAGGAAGAAATAAGCAAAATATCTTTTGCACCAGCTAAAAGCACTTGCCAATGTTCTTAATCAAATGGTGTTACTAGCTTGTAAATATTGGTTACTGTTGAAGGTTTCTTGAAAAAAATACAAGGGTACTGAAGTGTTATCAACTGAGTTGAAAACGTAAGTTGGCCACCGAAAAAGAGTTTAAAGGCTGACTTTTCGAGCGTTAGCCCTTCGTCAGAGCGATAGACGAAGGGCCAACGCTCTAAACATCAGCCTTTAAACTCTTTACAGTGGCTAATTAACGTTTTCAACTTAGTTGATAACACTAAATTACCCTGTTACACTCTCCCACACACGCAGCATCACAATTTCTTTAGAAACTCGCCCCCTCTAAAAAAATAAAAGCAAAGTTAATGGAACGAGGTTACATCAGTCTGAGATGAACCTTTCGTCAGGCAACTGTGCGACTTTTGACGACTTCTTAAGCTATAGTACATAAAAGTTCAAATGTTAACATGAGCTGGTAAGAAAAGTACATATGTCAGCGTGGTCAGAGGAAACAAGCGAATACTTGCCAGCAAATATAACAACGTTTTGGATCAGTCGAGTGTCCAAAGTAATTCGGGAGTACAACAGCTTTGCTCACTACGCTCTGACTTTGGTTCAACAAATTCTATGGTCACTTAAACGCAAGACCACACCTTTACCTCACCTTTGTATTACACCCTTACCAAGAGCATTTTCCCACGCTTAAAGCCAGTTTCATGCATTTACTTTGATAAGTAATGGCAGTAATGATTGATTTGTTTACGTTTCACGAACTCAATCGAAACGCAGTTTAAAATGATTTCACTTTTAAATCTTCTTCCATGCTTACCTGAAGAGGGAAGAGGGACAGTCATCAGATTAGTAACACCGGTAGCAACACCTTGTTTCTCTCCTTCTCGTTGGCTAGCCTCCAGGTTTATTCCAACAGGGACAGATAGTGGGTCTACCTTTCCGTCTGTGCTGGCTTCGGTATTTAGTAGCGGCAATGATGGTGATTTGTCGCTGAAATCCAAATGAGATGGGACAAGTGGGACACGTGCAACATCTGGACTTACGGCAGCTGCTGAGTTTTTTCCCTCAGTAAGTGATTCATACGACTTTGACGGAACTTTGGAGTTAAACATTTCCAGTTGATGACCAGCTTCATAAATGCAAGGACCAACCTCACTTGAGGTTTTTAACTTCATTCTCATCATGAACTGGCTTGCATGTGGTTCTTTCAGCCTCATTATAAACTTTTTAGGACCTTTCGTAGCCGATGTTAATTGTTCAAAGTCGATGATATCTAACCCTGCCAAAAGATTGCGAAAGACCTTTCTTTTTCCTTCTAACCATGGATAGCAGTTAAGGAATCTCTTCCCAAACCGATTCTCATATGTTAACTTGAATTTGTCGAGAAACAAGCAATTTCCCTCACAAGAACGTAAAATTTGGATAACATCTCGCTTCAGATTTGTTAAAGTTTCTAAGTCCTCATCGGCATCAAGACAAATGCCTTGGATTCGTGGACAATTTTGATCCAACGGAGTGTGAAAACTTTTGTTTTCCATTAAACTGGGGATGACTGGTATCGCTTGAGGAGGACTTTCGGTAGGGAGCATATGTTTGCTTTTCACTTCCTGATCCACTCGCTCAGCATTGGACGGTTCAGCCTTTGCAGGAGCTGTATTAGCGGTTGTTGTTGGACCAGACCCTTGATGAAAGAATACAACTACAGTAAATCACACGATTATTACATAAAATATTTGGGTGACGATTGCAGAAACTGTTTTTGGTAAGCATGATACAATATTTCTGAATGAGGTTCTTTTCGACTTTTTTTTTCAAAAAAAGCCCTCTGTTTCAGCCAATCAGCATTCAGTAATTTTGCCCTCTATGTAATAGTTAAAGGATATTACACACTGGCGAGAAGATATATGACTTTTATGTTCAAGTGGAAAGAAAAATACGAATTAGAGTAGTTTTTACCACTATGTAAAAAATAGAGGATTTTACATGGTGGGGAGAAGATATGGATTTATGTTCAAATTCCATGAGCAATATCTCACTCGTTCCATGAACTCAATCGTGAGATATTATTTGTGCCACAAGAACAAAAAATTCGTATCTCTGAGCTAACCTGTACATTTTCTTTCATTTTATAGACAATAAATAGACATAATAGAGATGAAAAAACTTGTTATAATGCTAACCCTAATCCTATTCCTGCCAGTGCCCGAATTATAGAAAGGTTAACATGTAACACCATCAGTTAGGCCAAAATACATGTGAAGTGTTTTTATAACCTTTCAGTTGATGAACTAATTCAATAACAAGAATGTCAGCCAATTAGAACGCGATATTTTATTGGGAGAGTAAAGAAATACAAGCCGGGTTAATGGAACGAGGTTACATCAGTCTAAGGTGAACCTTTCGTCAGGCAACTGTGCGACTTTTGACGACTTCTTAAGCTAAAGTACATGAAAGTTCATATGTGAACTTGGGCTGGTAAGAAAAGTGCACATGTCAGCGTGGTCAGAGGAAACAGGCGAATACTTGTCAGCAAATATAACAACGTTTTGGATCAGTCGAGAGTCGAAAGTAATTCGGGAGTACAACAGCTTTGCTCACTACGCTCTGACTTTAGTTCAACAAATTCTATGGTCACTTAAATGCAAGACCACAACTTTACCTCACCTTTGTATTACACCCTTACCAAGTGCATTTTGCCACGCTTGAAGCCAGTTTCATGCATTTACTTTGAGTAGTAATGGCGGTAATGATTGATTTGTTTACGTTTCGCGAACTCAATCGAAACGCAGTTTAAAATGATTTCACTTTTAAATCTTCTTACATGCTTACCTGAAGAGGGAAGAGGGACAGTCATCAGATTAGTAACACCGGCAGCAACACCTTGTTTCTCTCCTTCTCGTTGGCTAGCGTCTTGGTTTATTCCAACAGGGACAGAGAGTGAGTCTACCTTTCCGTCTGTGCTGGCTTCGGTATTTAGTAGCGGCAATGATGGTGATTTGTCGCTGAAATCCAAATGAGATGGGACAAGTGGGACACGTGCAACATCTGGACTTACGGCAGCTGCTGAGTTTTCCCCCCCAGTGAGAGATGTATACGACTTTGACGGAACTTTGGAATCAAACATTTCCAGTTGATGACCAGCTTCATAAATGCAAGGACCAACCTCACTTGAGGTTTTTAACCTCATTCTCATCATGAACTGGCTTGCATGTGGTTCTTTCAGCCTCATCATAAACTTTTTAGGACCTTTCGTAGCCGATGTTAATTGTTCAAGGTCAATGATATCTAACCCTGCCATAAGATCACGAAAGACTTTTTTTTTTCCTTTTACCCATGGATAGCAGTTAAGGAATCTCTTCCCAAACCGATTCTCGTATGTTAACTTGAATTTGTCGAGAAACAAGCAATTTCCCTCACAAGAACGTAAAATTTCGATAACATCTTGCTTCAGATTTGTTAAAGTTTCTGAGATCTCATCGGCATCAAGACAAATGCCTTGGATTCGTGGACAATTTTGATCCAACTGAGCGTGAAAACTTTTGTTTTCCATTAAACTGGGAACGACTGGTATCGCTTGAGGAGTACTTCCGGTAAGTAGCATATGTTTGCTTTTCACTTCCTGATCCACTTGCTCAGCGTTGAAGGGTTCAGCCTTTGCAGGAGCTGTATTGGCGGTTGTTGTTGGACCAGACCCTTGATGAAAGAATACAACTACAATAAATTACATGATTATTACGTAAAATATTTGGGTGATGATTGCAGAAACTGTTGTGGGTAAGCATGATACAATATTTCTGAGTGAGGTTCTTTTCGACCTTTTTTTTTTTCAAAAAAAAAGCCCTATGTTTCAGCCAATCAGCATTCAGTAATTTTGCCCTCTATGTAATAGTTAAAGGATATTACACACTGGCGAGAAGATATATGACTTTCATGTTCAAGTTGAAAGAACAATAGTAATTATAGTAATTTTGACCAATATGCTAGAAATTGATGATTTTACATGGTGGATTTAAGTTCAGATTCCAAGAGCAATATCCCACTCATTCAATTACCTCATTCATGAGATATTCTTCATGTCACAAGAGCTAACATGTATTTTCCTTTTATTTTAAGGACAATGATAGAGATGAATTATCTGGCTTTAACACAAGTACCGGGTTTGAATAGGAACAAAATACCCTGCCAATGCCCAAATTGTAAAAAAGGTTAACATACACGTATAACACCATCAGTTAGGCCAAAATACGTGTGAACTGTTTTTATAACTTTTCTGCAGTTGAAAAAAAATTTGATTTACTGACTCTGACTTGAATCATTAGATACCATTCATTTTCAGCCTTTTTTCACTTTGAACCTTTGAATGTTGTTTAGCACACATAGAAGAAAAATTAACCTTTCCAATCTATTTCTCTTGTTTTGTTGCAACTTTCAAGAGATTATTTGAAAATCTTGAGATCATACAACATTTTCTTTTTGGTGTTTCTGCTCTCTTGTTGTTCAGAAAATCCATTTACATCTTTGTTATTCACCAAAAAAAATTTTGTAGCCATTATTCCAAACAAGAAGCAAACCAAGTTCATTCAATAAAGTTTGAAAAAGCAGGAATGGTGACATTCCTACTCAATATAACCACTCATGTTATGTATGAAAAATATGCCACTTGGTCTCCAGATGTTGTGGTTGTTTTGATTATAGGAGTGTTTTAGTTCCCAAAAAGACACTCTCTCCCACTTAGTAAATGTTAATATACAGATCCTTCATTATTTTCAAATGACCACACCTTCTGCTATTCTCAGAAACCTCAGTTACCTATCCTAATCAAAATTGTCAGAAATTCTAAGAAATGTACCCTGTTTCCTCATAATATAAATTCCATATCTTTCACATACCTTCAGGTATATTGACTGCATGACTAGGAACTTGTATTAAAGATGTTGACAAAACCAAAGGAGGAGAAGCCTGGAAGGTAGTTGCAGGGGCTGGAGATTGAACTCTTGAATCCAAAACATTTTGATCCAAAGGAGCTGGTGGGACAGTAGGCACTCTGGCAATAATTGGGCCAGCAGCAACTGCCAAATCATCTGCTAGAGAGGCTGGTCTTAGTGATTTGGTTGGTACTTTGGAATCAAATTCATCCTGCTGATACCCAAAATTAGAACAGGAATCAAGTTCTTCTGCTGTGTTCAAACTTGTTCTCTGCATGGACAGGTTTGCATGCAGTTCTTTCAGCTTTAATTGATATTTCTTCACACCTTTTTCACTGGTATGTTCTAATTTGATGATATCTAATTCTGATAAGAATTGCACCAGACCTTTTCCTTGGAACAGTACTCTGAAGGTACCATGGAATTTTCTTCTGAATGTTTGCCAATACTTATCAGGAAGTTCTGAGAGATACAAGCAATTTCCCTTACAAGACTTTAGTAAATTTACAATATCTTTCTTCAACATTGTCAACTTCTCAGGGAAATAACCACAATCAATTCCAATGTTTTGGGACATGAGCCCTTTTCTATTCTCTACACTCTCAGGATCTTTTTTCTTCAATGAACTGGGTTTTTCTTCATTGTCAAAACCCATGTTCAGCATAAACTGGCTTGCATGTGGTTCTTTCAGCTTCATCAAATAGTTCCTGGCACCTTTTTCACCTTTATCTTCTATTATTTCAATGATGTCTAACTCTCTTAAGAATTGTGAGAGACATTTTCCTTTCAACAGCACTTTGTGGGTGGTAAAAAACCCTTTTTGAAATGTTTTCCCATACTCTTCCTGAAGCTGGGAGAGATACAAGCAGTTCCTCTCACAGGACCTCAACATATCCACAATGTCTTTCTTCAATCTTATTAACTTTTCAGAGAGATCAATGGCATCAAGGCTGGTGTTTTGGCTCTGGAACGTTGGTGCCACAGTCTCTCTTCTTTTCACAAACTTTGGTCTCCTGGTCTCTCTTGTCTCCACGTCAGTAGCACAACTATGCTCAGATCCAGCTATATTAAAACTCATATGCTGACTCACATGTTGTTCTTTAAGTTTTATGAGAGGTCTTGAACCATTTTGGTCAAGTTCAATGATATCTAACTCAGCCATGAGATTGCAGAATTCCTCTCTTCCACCTGACAACCTATAACATTCATTGAATTTTTTTCCAAACCACTTGCGGTACCTGCTTTTAAACTGGGAGAGCTTTAAGCAGTTTCCCTCACATGAACTTAATATTTCAATGACCTCTCTCTTCAGTCTTTTTATGTGTTCAGTTTTAAGATGAGCAAATTTGGTAAATTTGGCATCGAGGTCTTGATTTCCATACTCATCATCACCAGGCACAGCTTGCAACTCAGACATGTACAACAGCTTGTCATAACCAACAAGCAAAGAAGGGCCTCCACTTGCCTCTGCCTTTTTCTTTTGTTCTTCGAATTCCATCATTGTATTTAGTCAGTCATCCTTGTTTTTACTCCTGCGGTAGGTACTGGTATTCCCAGACTGAAAGCTTAAGGAAGAAAATGAAAGAATTTCTTGAAATAATTTTACTACCAATGATCGAATTTTCAAAGCAGTACATTAAACATGTATTAACAGTGTATTACACTATAGTTCTGCCTAAAAACTATGCAACCTTAAATCTTTCATCTTAAATTTAATTAAATGAGTTCATTCCCAGTTCTACACTACCTCTGTGTTCATAACTGACAACATGCTCTTCAGCTACATGTACATGCATAAGTTTTATCTCTCAATAAATAGTCGTAGGAAATAACTATAAATATCCACTGCCTCGGCGAGGCGCCACGTAAAAATCAAGAAACCAGTGCAAAATTAATGGCGTACCTGATTCTAAGGAGAATTGAAAATAACACGTCTCTAAATCAAATGAAAGTCACTTGAATGAAAGTAGTATTTCTTTGTTCTCGGTGTCGTCCACCAAAAGAAAAAAAGGTAACATTACGTTTCCGAGATTCTCACGTGCGATTCACGAGAAAGAGGGCTTTCTATTATTTCTTCGTTTTAGGGGAATATCGTTAGCCAATGATAACGATATTGAATTATTGATATCTCCTAGATCCTAGTCTTTTTCAACCGCAACCAGCCAAAGCCTGGAGCGACACCACTAAAACAAAATGGCTGCCTATGGCAGTTATCTGCGGAAGTAAAAATCTGCGGACGCAAGTGTTGAACTTTTGATAATTTAGGAAAGAAAAGTAAAACTCAGAAAAAAAAAATAAGTATAAGCTGAGAACTCACAAAATGGCAGATAGTGAAGATGAAGAAGCGCCTCCAGAGAGGGATGTTAAGGTATCTGTTTTACGACCGTACAACCTCCATGTGCAAAATTTAGCTGTAGTTTGAAAGTAAAACATAGGTGGCATTGAAAACTTTCTTTTACTTCTTGAAAGTGCAAGTAACCTAAATTTAACTCCTAAAGTTTAAACTGACACAATACCTAAAATTAACAGTGCTACAAAATGTGAGCTGAAAAAATGTACTGTAAAAGCCAGGCTGACAAATTAAGCTCTACATGAATCTTAATTAATAGTGATTTACTCCCAACTTTTACTTTTTTATTCTAAACATTAAATCGTATGTCGAAGCGCAATAGTAATAATATAAACACCAATCGTAATTTAGCTGTCTCTCACTTTTAGTGAAGTACAGGTTCATCTTTTCAGGCGTTATAAAAATGATCTGTTTAGCTGTAATTCTCGGTGAACTATGGAGAGATTTTGTTAGTGGTTGTAGCCAGTGAACTCTTGCTGCTTGAGTATTCCGTGTCAACCTGTTTTTTGGGATGGAACTGAGATTCATGGCAATTAGACTCTCCAAACGATATGATTTATTAGTGTGTGACAGTTGAGGCTTCTATGAACATGCTATCAACTTTATTTAACACGTGTGCCTAAATTCTTGTCTTAAATAGGATTTTAGCTTCAAACAAATGAGGAAAATAAGAATGTTTGAGTCACCAACAACTTTACCCACTGTTCGCTCAAGCTCGCTGGCTGTTTCCACCAAGTATGGGTTGACATTTGTTGGCTGCCCTACAGGTATTTTAAAACTATTGTGCATCTTAGTGGATGAACATCTTTAAATTATGTGTTGTTTCTTTCTTGGAATGTGTACTTATTGAGTTTTAAACAAAATGAGCCTAGCAACTCCTTATCACCCACGAGTGACCAAGACAAAATTTCTCCTCACAATAGGGAGGGTGGAGGAGTTTTGACTTGTTGCCTGAAGATCTAAATATTACTTTTTTTCTTTTGGAACTCAATTTTCTCTCCTCTTTGCTTTTGGTTATAAGAGTAATGTATTTATCAAGATCGAGACAAAAAGTGCGCCTTTACTTGTTTGTGTACCAAGGAGAGAATTCAATTAAAACAATTGTATCAACTTTATTTTTTAATTTCTTTCTGATTACTATTGTGCTCTACATTATTTCAATTTTAAACTCAAGATTATATATCATACGGGACATTGCATCAATATTTATTGTAACAGGAACAAGAGTGATAAAAACTGAAACCATTGAAAGAATTAATGAATCTGATGAAGGAAGCATGCAGAATGTTGGTAAGTTGTTGAAAGAACCCTTAGAACCACCACCACCCCCCCCCCCACCCACCCTCTCAAAAAAAACAAACAAAACTGCATATGTGTTACCCTTAGCCTGTTTAAGATGAAACTCAAGGGGTCACTATGTTGTATTTTGGGGAAACCTACTTCCTTCAGTGGTGGCTTAATTCTTTGGTGCATCAGTACCTCAATAGTTGTCCAGTTCTTTTCTCAAAAATGAGTACATTCAGAGCTAAGTTACAGCCATATATCATTGCAAAATTGATGCAGCTTTGAATCAACAGGGATACTTTGAATGATCTTTTAAATTAAACTTGAATCTTGAAACTTAATATACAGAGGGCTATAAGCTGATGAGAAAAAAAAAAACAGGAAGTTACCAAACTTGCACATTAGGGGAATTTTTGACATGCTTGAGTGTTGTTATGATGTCATCCTGCAGGGATCCATTTGTCTAACAGTGATAGGGTATTTTTTATTGTATCTTTCAGTGGCAACTTGCCCTTCAACCTTCAAAGAAATTGGTCATTCTGTACAGTTTGTGGGTCTTAGCAGTGATGATTTGACTCTGTCTGTCTGCTATGTGAATGGAAATCAAACTCTCTTGAATCTCTATGATGTTCCAACCCTTGGAAGTTCTGTATGTTGTAATTGTTTGTTTTGTTTTGTTTTACAATTATGATTTGTTTCATTCTACACTTCTCAATTTATCTGGCTCCCTTTGATAAACTTTTCGTCATTTCAGAACACATCAAATGCCAAGTTTGGTGACACAATTCTTACAAGTGATGCAGGTACACATTGTTTAGAACTAAGTTTCAAGTCTGCAAATAACAAGCTATCATCTTACAAATATTTGCCAACTTTTTGGTTGTAATGGTCAAATGTTTAAGGTGTCCAATACAATGTATTACAATAAAGGGTTTAACTTAGAGCATGGATCACTTTGCTTTTTGAATGAACAATACGATTACAGGTACAATTCCTGTAAAGCTCCGAGTGAAAACATGCTTTGTTGAACAATGCCATCTTCTTTCGAAAGCTTGCAAAATTACAACTTGTTGGTGTGAATTGGATTCTCAAATTTTGAGAGCCAACCAAGCAGCCTATTACAAGAAGTATATTATCCTGTGCTACTTCTTTCATATCTCAACTTATATGAAAAACTAGTATTGGTACAGGACTTACTGTAATTTTGAAAAAAATACATTCATTGCTTATGAGAGGTTAACAATTTTTTTTCATCTAAGCAGATTTGCTTCTTTTCTGGTAAAACTATTTAGTAGCACAGCAAAAGACCTGATGCTTATTATTTACAGGCTTGAAGTTAACGAAGTTATTTTAAAAATTATGATTACTTCAAAAATAATCTTCTGACAATCTACGTCTAATTGAGCATGATACAGATTATATTAAACATACCTACAATACCGCTCGCCTATATGTTAAATGTGCAGACGAATTTAATACGCCTAGACGCAGGATAGTCAGACGCGCATTTATACGATTTTTTTGCGGGCACGGTCGAAAAAATTCGCGACTCATTTACCGTTGTTATTTGGTGCTGTAAGTTTCCTTTATAGTACATTGTTGTGTAAAACAAAGAACTTCTTGGTTTGAAAAATGCGACTAGTCGACAATGGGAAATTTACATAATGAAAAAAGCTATTATGTTACACTCACGCATGTCGCATTGCTTCGGGAATTTATCGACTAACGAGCAGTAGCAGTAGATTTGCTTGATTTGAGTTGTTGATGAATCAAGAGGGAAGGAAAATGTCTCTTACAGAAGACATCGAAACACTCGTACCATTAAGCGAGTAACGAAGCGAATACTCACTAATATGCTTCCCAATTTATTCATTGCAATCAGCGCCCCCTAGAATGTTTACGCATTGGGAATGTAAACAATTTGGTGTTCGCATTGCGCGTGCTTATTTCTTCGAAACTTCAAACTTACCTCGATCACTTTCGATGAGGAACAGAAGGTGAACATCGATCGATGATCTAACAAATAATGAAACAAGAAGCAAATTCGGTTTCGCACAAAAAATTTGCATACGAGTCCGAACAAGGCTTAGTCGTGACCAAACTGTAACACAACACCATTATCATAAGCACTTCTTAGTTTTTGTTTAAAAGGCGAGATGAATGAATCAGTTTTCGAGAACAGCATGTTCACCGATGATAAAAGCTATAAAATAAGCATTCATTCAGAACGCGACAACTGGTTACAAACGAGTGCTTTAGCTGATTCTACCGAAATACGATACACTGAGAATAAACAAATTGTATTAATTTATTGCATATTCTTTTTGTGAACAGAATAAATTTTTACATAACGTTATACATCATCATTAAAGTATATGTTGGTATGAATGATGTGCTTCATCGCTTAGTTTCTAAGTTATCACATGTACTCATTTTGCACGTGATTTGCTGGGATGTTTTTGTCACGTTATTTACAATGTAACATGATACTATATATATCAAGGGAGACCAGTTAATAACTTGCATATTGTTAGTTGCAAAATAAAGTAATGTTTATTTGATAATTATTTCTTAAACAGGAGTAAGTGTCGCAAACCTTCTCTGGAACCCTGGTTTTCCTGGTATCTTTGCCATTTGTTTTAGTTCTGGAGCTGTGTCAATAATGGAGCTTACTGAAACTGAAATCAAAACACTGGCTTCTCTTCCAGGAAGTGTAAATGCCAATGCAAGTAGGTGTTATTAAGTCACTTAATTGCATTTTTTTTCTTTTATATGAATTAAAGTCAATTATGGACAAGAAATGATTTGAGAATTTTTTTACTAGTTTGTTGGAGTCCAAAAGGAAAACAGCTTGTTGTTGGACACAGAGATGGCAGTTTAACACAGTATTCACAGGTACAGTAATTCAAACTAACTTTAAATCTTCATGTTAGTGCTTGGGGCAACTATAACTTGTATTTCAAATTTAGAACAAGATGTGGGCACTTTCAGGTAGTAATCAGAAAGAGTTTGCATGTCAAGAAACGGGGCTTATTTCATATTTATTAACCAAAAATTTGGCTGGACCAATGATTGTTTTATGACATAGCATTTTTGAATTAACAACAATACAAACTTGTAGTAAAATGCAAAAGGTGGTCATGATTTTTAAATGGCATAATACCAGTAGTTTGTACTGGTCATTTTTTTTTTTTGCAAACTTGGCCTTGTTTCTTATAAAACTGAAACCTGGACGGTATAAATACACAATACAGCACAAGGAGATATGGAAATTCCTAGTGAAAAAGGTACTCTAGTGAGGGGGGGAGGGGGGGGGTGGAATCATCATATTAGTTATTGTTATAAAAGGTCATGCTGGTGATAAACACAACCAAAACATGTATTTCATTTCTTGTCCATAAAGGTGGGTGGAGGAGCTAGGGGGGTATTTTTTAAGTTTTGACCAGTAGGAACTGGATGCATGCTTTTTCACCAGGGACAATGATTTTGGGGTGGTACAACTTAGAGTATTTTTGGTATACTATGCTTGGGGAACTACATGTTTTTTAGCACTTTTGCTGATCTTCTCCTCAGATCTGTACCATTTTTAGCATTGATTGTGACATCCCTCACATCCATTTTGTGATGTCCCCCACAACCTTTTGAATTTAAAAATTCTAATCTTTAATTAAAAAAATTGATTTATTCATGTTATTTGGTAAAGAGTGAAGTATAGTTTGTTTTCAAATCCTTGGGTGAAATTTAAATAATAGGGGAGAAGTGATATTACTCTTGAATATTGATTGCTAAGTTCACTGGGTTCAGTTTTGCAACATGTTCTTTATTATCTAAAATGATTCTCTTTAGGCTTTGGAAGTTAAAAAGGAAATAGAATGCCCTGAAATTTTTATTGACGATCCTCACTCAGGTATTGAAAATTGTAATCAGTGGCAATGTCTCCCTTCTTCCAAATAAGAATTGAAATGCAATAGCACATGTATATTGACACAACATCAACTTTTTCTACCCTATTTTGATGTAAATTACCTTTGCTTCACAAATAATCTTTGCGAGCTGTTCATTGATTCAATTATTTCAATCCACTTTCTTTTGCTAAATAGTTAAATTGTGTACAGTACATACAGGTATAAACCAACATCCATTTATTGCAATACTTACACTGTAGTCTTGTAAATTAGTGAAGTCACTTATATATTGTATTTCTTGACTGACTGACTGATTGATTTATCATTTGATTCATTCTTCCAATATTTAACTTTGTTGACAAATTACTTCATGTGATATTTAGTGACAGATGTGCTGTGGATTACTGCAACATTGTTTGCTGTTGTTTACTCCAGCTTTGAGGAAGGGGATGCTCCACAGTTTCTGCTTATTTCCACTCCTGTAAGTTTAAATGTTATTTAGTATATGTTTTGGATCAAACATTTTCTTGGTTTAACTTTTCGAAAGCAGTTAGTACAGATCAGTTTGATTCTTATTTACTAATCTTGTATTTGTTATAATCATAATCTGAAACACAGGAAAATACAAATCAGGGTAATTTGAAAATTTTCACACCAAGAAAAATTCCAACCTTGACATATTCAAGGACAAACCATGTACCTTTGTATGTAGCTTGAAAATTTTGAGGGTTTTTTTATTTTAGCAAATTTTGTGTACAGTTATGAATCAAAAAAAAATATCGGTAAAGAAAAGGCCACATTTACTTACTATTTAGGACAAAATGAAAGTCTCTACATGCAAAGCAGTGTCAATTCATGTTCTTTTTATTTTGAGTGACATGGAATACCCATCAGGCTACAAATTTGTTTACCATGTAGACTGCACACATGCACAGCTCCTGCTTATTAACTTGACTAGCTAAAATTTTTGAAAATAGTTGCTTTTCCTCTTTCTTTATGTTCTGTAACAAGAAACCACAAAAATAATTTCCCATCAGAAACCTTAACTCTTCTTGAACGGCAAAATTTGTTTCCCCTGACGTGGAAAACATGGCCTTTAGGCAAAATAAACTGAGCAAAATATTTGTGCTTTGCAGTCTAAAGATGGTTTGAGCAAAAAAGATATTTAGTACTATTGAACAGTGACAGAAGTTGAGCTCTATTTTTCCTCTTTTTGCTCTTAGAGAGATGAACCAAAGAAAATAATAAACTTTGATGATATCTACTATGTGATGAGCGAGGAACGGCAACCCATGTTTTACTTAAAACTCATCACTGAATGGTAAGAATAGTCTAAGAGAATTTTAGCAGAGCTCAGCATAGCCCCATAATGATACAAAATTGTAGTAACCCATCAAGCCGAAAAAATTTGGACTTGACACTGTACGGGCATCCATACAAGGTGCTACTTTTAACATGCGTGGTCAACTGTACTGCGGGCACGCCAACGCCACAGCTTTGTCCAGTAGTCCAGTGGTCAGTGCACTGGGCTCCGAGTCAGATGACCCAGGTTCTAGTCCTGGCTGGGGCAAGGCGTTGTGCCCTTGAGACATGTGGGAAAAAAAATGCGAGCTCCACTTTTAGGCTTGGCTAAATCTATATATTATGAATTTCTGACTAATTTAAATGGACCATACAAAATTCATCTAGTGGCAATTAAAGAACTATTCAACTAAACCCTATGTTGTTTTCTTAGTAATATTTATTGGGTTTTAATCACAAAATTGGACATTTCAAAGCAAAATCTTGACAAATTGCCATTAATACACCTTGTCAAAAATATTGGAGGACAGGTGCTATAAAGGTACCCATAGAAACATACTGTAGAAGGGCCCCTGGGCACACCACATAACATTGACAATTATCCTGTTACATGACTTTCTTTTCATTATGCTTAAATTGCATTTATAGCTGTAGCTTGTCATTGGTATTGAATAGTCCATTTAGTTGCCCTTATGGTAGTGAGAGATTAATTTTAGTATAGTAACCTCGTTAGCAACACAGAGAGCACCATAGAAACCAAACCACTGCCTAAGCAACAAATACTGTCGGTTGTTTCACTTCAATAAAGTAACACTCTAACTGTGTAGATACTTCTGTTTTAGGAATATTTTGATTTCAGCATGTTCCAATGGGTTTGAAGCTGCTGTACTTGGGAAGTATGGAGGAGAGGTATGATGTTGTTTTATTGAATTCCTTGATGCATAACTTTTGTTTTGCATGTTGAATTTTCAAAATGGACTTGCATAGCTCAAAAATATGAATTGATGCAGTAGCTCCCTTGAAATTTATTTGTTTATGACATTTTTAATTAATTTCCATTGCTTGAGCCCGCTCTAAGATTTATGTGCTGCTACTGTAAAAATAAAGATATTCTTTTGGCCTTCCATTTTTCAGGTATATTTGTAAATATCAAAAATTAGTAAATAATGATATTCTCTGGTTAAAGAAGAGATAAAATGTGGAATTGTTGTCCCTCAAAGAATATTTTTTAAGTATTGTGAGACTGCACTATTGATACTTCCTTGCTTTCCTTGTATTTGAACAGGCTTCTACTCCTTGGGAAAAGTGGAATGTTGAAGAAAATGGTCGTGCAGAAATGCCTTTGACTAACAACAATGATGAAACATTTCCTATGGGATTGGCATTTGACTTTAGATCAACCAAGCCCATTTTAGAAGGAGAAAAAAAGCTTCCCCCGGCCCCAATGATGATGCTTCTATCAACAGATGGTGTCCTGTGCCCATATTACGTTGTTAATCAAACCCCTAATGTAGATCAAGGTATAATTAGAGTTCCAGAACCTTTACCACTCGGAGGACAAAGAAAGGCAATAGCATCAAAAGCAGGTGATGAATTGTACTTCGGAATTCCTTCCTATAAAGCATTTTAAAAATGTGTAGATTTTGCAACCCAAACCTTTCTTTTTTTTTCTGTGAATGTACTTTCAACTCAGTAATCTTTTGAACATTGTAAATAAGCAGGAGACTTCATTTCCAATGTTATTTCTACAAATTCCAACATTAATGACTGATTCAAATCAAGGGCCTTTGTCATTTACCACTCCAGGGATATTATTCTTTTCTCATCAGGTTCTGTTCCTAAAGGGAATGTTTTGCCAACCTTTGGTACTGCTAGAGACCTCCCTACTGGTGTTTTCTCACAGACCACAACATCTGGCTATTTCTCTCCAGGTGGTACCTCTTCATTTGCAAGCTCCAAGCAAACCACTACTTTGGCATCTGGAACTCCCTTGTCAGGCAAATCAGGGAACTTTCCAAGTGGTACCTTTTCATTTGCAGGCCCCAAAGAAAGCACTTCTTTGACATCTGGAACTTCCTTGTCAGGCAAATCAGGGAACCTTCCAACTGGTACCTCTTTATTTGCAAGCTCCAAGCAAACCACTCCTTTGGCATCTGGAACTCCCTTGTCAGGCAAATCAGGGAACCTTCCAAGTGGTACCTTTTCATTTGCAGGCCCCAAAGAAAGCACTCCTTTGACATCTGGAAGTTCCTTGTCAAGCAAATCAGGAAACTTTCCAAGTGGTACCTTTTCATTTGCTGGCCCTAAAGAAACCACTTCTTTGACATCTGGAACTTCCTTGTCAGGCAAATCAGGGAACCTTCCAACTGGTACCTCTTCATTTGCAAGCTCCAAGCAAATCACTCCTTTGGCACCTGGAACACCCTTGTCAGGCAAATCAGTCGACCCTCCAAGTGGTACCTTTCCATTTGCAGGCCCTGAAGAAACCACTCCTTTGACATCTAGAACTCCCTTGTCAAGCAAATCAGGGAACCTTCCAACTGATACCTTTTCATTTGCAAGCCCTAAAGAAACCACTCCTTTGATATCTGGAACTTCAGGGAATCTTCAGTCTGGTACCTTTTCATTACCAGGCTCAATGCTAACTGTTCCTTCGACAGCTGGAACTTCTTCCTCAGGTACATCTGGGAACCCTACAGCCAGTGTATTTTCATTTTCAAGTGATAAGCAGTCAGGGCCAATACCCTTTAAACCTACTGCACAAGTGCAAGCCACAGAATCAGGGAAGCCCTCAAGAAGTAGGCCTCCTCTTGTGAAACCCACTCCTATCACTCAATTGCAGCCAGATAGTCAAGTAAAGACATCTTTTCAACCAGCACCAACTACTGCTGCAACCTCCATAAAGGCACCCTCTCAACCTCAGGTATTACACAATTTAACTTTACAATAGAAGATGGGCATCAATAAAACTCATTAACTTACAGCCTTGTGCTATTTACGAGGCCCCTTAGCGCAGTGTTATGTCAATTTCAATTGAGTAAAAACTACTTAATCATTGAAAAATGAGTTCCTTAATTTTTTTTCCATACCTTGCTTGATTCAGAAATGCAACCACAATATTTTCAGAGGTTGCTTTGCTTGGGAGATCACCAAATTTTTTTTTTAGGCCAATGGCACAAAGAGCTGAAATGAATGGTGCTCCTTACAGGATTTAGCCTTGCTATGCTGCTTTTAAAAACGATGATCAGAATTTGCGATAACTCAATATTTGTTCAAATTATTTTTTAGGAAACCAAAAAGAATTGTATTATAAATCTGTCAAGAGATTGGGCCACATCGAACTTTCAATACTGCGTATGTACACTGTTGATTCCTTTGATAAAGGAAGTCACACTGAAATATATAATTAAGGTTTAGAACAAAAGACAATCTGCTCTGTTCCCTCTCAGGTTGCAGGACTAAGCTTGCCATCAACACCGAAGCTAACATCTGCTAAACAACCAGCTGGGCATGTAACAAAGGAAGATCAGCCCAGTCCTTTTACTTCAAGACAAGTGCAGAGGATCGAGGGAAGCTTAAGTTTTACTGCAAATTCTCCTTCACAGAGCTTAAAATTACTTGGGCAATCAAATGCCAGAGAAAGTGCAAAACAGGAACGCACCAAAAAGGTAATTTATTTTTCTCAATTTTATTGTTTGGAAGAGATCTCTGTTTGTGTTAGAATCCCAACTCTGGCCAGTTCCAGATTTTCATATGGATTGTCTGAGTTACAGATATCTCATCTGTCAGCTAGGTCCTCCATATACAGCAAATGTGTTGGAGTCCTACACTTTTTGTCACAAAGGAACTTCATACTGCTATAATAAGCGCTGTTATGAGAATTTTGATTGGAGACTCACACGTCACACGTTAGTTGGTGGCTTTTGTAAGTTCGAAATGATTGAACGAATTGTTTTCAATTTGTTATAAACATTTTGCAAACAAGTTCCAATTGACTGGTCGGTTCTACGTAATACTATATGCAAAGTGTGATTCAATTTACCTCTAATTTGATGTAATCCTTACTTTTTCTTAGGTTGCTCCAGTTGCAAAAGAAAAAACAATGGAAGCATCTGTGTCAGAGACTATCCATGAAACAGTAATGTCTTGATTACTATGGCAGGAAACTTCAATTATCTTTGTAATTTAACCGCTATCGTTGAGAGAATATCGTGGGTATTTAGCTCTCGGATATGCCCCGAGACCGCAATGGAAGGAAAGCAAAAATGTTTTTACCTCCAAATATAATTAAATTAGTTTTTTTTCCCGTTGTTGTATTTATCGACTGACTGTCTTTAAAAATACCCTGACTTTCCTTTAGGATAATTTTATAACTCTTACGTGACATGATAATACTTTCCTCTCATTTAATTTCTGTAATGATTAACATTTTATAGATTAGCCTCTTTAACGAAGAAATGGCAAAATTGGGAAGTAGTGTAAAGAGCATGCAAAGGAAGTGTCGTCTTACTGACGATGATAAGGAGCTGGCTTCATTCAGGAGGGCAACCGATGAAGTTGGTCGAAATCTCAAAGACATCAAATTGGCCACAAAGGTTTGTACTTTAGTTAACCCCATGATTCTGTAGAGTGATCAGCAGCTAAATTTTCTGTCCTTTTTTTATAATCTGTTGAGCAGACCTGAAGGCAAACAGGTAGATACGGGTCAAACCACTTCTTTGTGTTAGTTCTTTTTTTTTTTGTAATTTGTTGTTGTTGTTTTTTTTAATTTCTTCTCAATTGCAGTACCCAAGTAAATCTGTGTCATCATCCTCATAGTAAAACAACCTGTATATTCGGAAAGGTTGTGGATAATATGGTAGTTAACTCTAGTATTGCTTGAATTGTTAACATTCGTGTTACGATGCTGTCACTTGTGATATAATCTACGTAGATAACGATGTTTCGACTGCATATTGCTTCTGTAATAGGCAGTGTGTTTGACTTCAACTATGTTTGCGTCAACTTGAAGCCAGGCTTGCTGCGCGAAATACGCCCGTTATGCTTTAGCCGAAAACTAACCAATCACAGGGGAGGATCAGGCCTCAAGGTTTACTCGTAGCCAATAAACTTTTTAGCCAGATTAAGACAGCAAAAATCGTGCCGTCGAAACCAGGCTCAGTCCTACCATTATTAACACTACAGGATCAACAAAATGACATTGACGAGGAGAAAAGAAAACTATTTGAAGCATTTGAAATGCTTGAAGATATCAGGTGCGTGCGTATCAGATGCAATTTTTGTTGGAGTTCATTAGATTTCAAAGCTAAAAAGTTCCCGTTCCCTTTTTGTTGCTGTTTTTCGGTGAGGGTGTCTGTTTGTTTATTATTTTTTTGCTTTTTTTCTAATTTCCTACTTTCTTTAATTGTATGATGTGGTTTCTTTTCTTAAAGAAATTAGATGACTAGAAGATCTAGTGATGTAATGATCGTTGTAAACATCAGCTTCGTTTTGTGGAGGCAGTTGATAACAGAATGTATCATCACAATTATAACTGCAACACGCACGTTTTTTATACATTAGGATTAGACAGGATAAGAAGAGCGATGCAAGGTATATTCAATTGCTTAAGGTATGAGTAGAACTGATCATTATATCGTACTTGTATGAGTAAATTCAAACGGAAAACATATTACATGATTGATTATGTATATTCGCTTTCACGCACTTGTTCTGAACGCAGCTTTTGACTTAAAAAAGCTCCCTCTAACAGGGCAATACTCTCTTTTACCGTCGTTCGAGGAGGAAGAATAGATATGCTCGTCAGTTAACCCGACCGAGAGATGGAATACTGAGATTTCAACCACCTTCCTTATGAACTTTTTTGGCGGCATGTCATTCAAACATTTGTAGTCTCGTATAGATGATAAACACAGTGGCCTTGATTTTGCTTGAAAACATCTTTATGTGTTTGTCCTTGGACATACGTCATATAATTATCTGTTCCTCGAAGCTTATCTGACGTTGTCGGAACAAGGGATGTCCGTTGACAAATACACCGTGTGAAAGAATATTTGTGCGCCATTAAGGGAATGTTATTTATTTTATTTTTGTTCGATAGTCAAGAGCTCTGGATCCTTTGAATACGAAGAAGATGAAAGAAATCAGAAAGCTTCATCTCTATCTTGATAAAACACTCAGGTGCGAGTTAATTCATGTTTTTTTTTTAATCAACACTTAAGTGTATTCTTTATTAGTGAATGTACTGCGACTATGCCACGGCCAAAGCGTAGTTACACACGTATTGAGGACAGTCAAACCTGTGTTAAGCGGGACTGTGTTAAAAGGTCAACCTGGTTCAACGGCCTTTTTGTGTTCTTTTGCTACTGTATCGAATGGTCCTTTGAAGCGGAACCACTCAATTAAAACTAAGAGTAATCTTTCCCATAAAATTTAATCCACTTTCATCTCCCGAAATCAAGGTTAGTAGTATTTTTGAGCGAGTTTTAGTACATTAAGTGGTAAATTAGGACATAACATGAAGCTTTTTATCGTTTTTTTAAATACCCATTTCTGTGGAACCTGTATTAAGCGGTCACCCCGTGGGTGACCGCCTGATAGAGGTTTGACTATAGATGGCTTCTCGATTAAGTGTCGTAAAACTAAAACCAAAGTAATCATAACTCCAAATCAGAGATGGGTAAGGAAATTATCTCAGTGAGTCATGAGGACCCAAAGCGCGGGAAAACGCGAGAGAGCAAATGGTAATTGCTTTTACTTTTGTATCTGATTGGTCGAGAGGGGTGGCGCGAGTTTGCTAAACAAACCACAGAGCCAAGTAAAGAAGGACCGATGCAATCTCGGAATTTCTCTCGATAATCATTTGAAAATTGTCGTATTTCTCCATCCACTCCGTTCACGTATGTACTGATCAAGTATTGAGTTAGTACAAATACATGTATTTTATTTAACCTACTGTTTTCTTAGAGACGTTATCATGGTTCTTGACGAACAGTGGAACAAAGAGAATGAACAGAAAAGGTAAGCACGAGGAAGACAGCAGTGCATTACGGCTTAGTTGAAGTATCTTAGGCTCATCTTTAATTTTTGCCTAGTCTCCCTATTTAGTCCTTTTATCGGAACTTCTTAACAAGACAGCTCCCCTTTGCAGCAGAAGGCGGCGGACTGGAAAAGTTTTTTCATGGTCCATACCTCTTGCGTTGTTTATCGCGTCACCCCAACCCCCCCTCCCCCTTTCCAAACAATCCCATGAGCGATTGCGCGGCGACATTTGTTCTCAGGCTATCACTCTTTTCCAAAATGAGCTATTGTTTCGCTTCAATTGAAGGTCTATCCAACGTCCTGCGCTAGCCGAAGTTTACCAGACACTGAGGATGCACCAAAAGATAGCACAAGATCAGGTGAGTCTCAAAGATATTCATTCTCATTCATGTGGTATCTCGACGGTTCGTATCTGAACATAAAACCTTATTTCACTGTTTGATTCGATTTGTCAGGGGGTCAAGTTGGACAAAATTGTACAAGGAATGAAAAATCGCAACCTGGTGTCAACCTCTTGGCAAAGAAATCCGATGACTACAACACCTTTAAGGTATTAGATTAATTGTATTTTACAAATCGACTACAATTGTACATCAATGTCAGTATTCACAATCCACTCCTCAAATAGTTGTGTGTCGCAGACGAGTCTAAGCGAGTTTGAATTTGGCATTCGAAACAAAAAGCAAATCGTTTCATAATTGAAATCCGTGATGTACCTTTTGCTCAAAAAGATAAAGTACAACGCCCAGTTTCAGCTTGCTTACACAAGTCTTGACCTGTGAGCACGTGAGAGTTTGTACAGTTTGGTAAAATGTTTTACAATTCAACTTCATCACTGCCTTTCTCTTTTAGCTGAAATTGATATCCACTGAAAATTACAATTAATTATTCCCCTTCCCTCGTTTTCTTCTGTTATTATTTTATTTATTATGCTCTATTGTTTAAATTTGAATTTTATTTTCCATTTCAGAGATGACGTTTCCTCTTTAAGTGACCCCTTTTCTGTTTCGAAACTGGGATTAAAATCACCTACAAAACCCGTCTCAGGTACATTTAAACCTATTCATATACAATGGTTTTGGTAGTGGAACACCTCAGCCATTTTAAACTCTTTTGTTCTTTTTGTAAAGAGTTTGGCTTCCATTTTTCCTCGTACTCAATCAAGGTGTATTTATATCAAACATTTTCAAAATTGAAGAAGGATCAAAATGCCGTTTCTAGGGGACAACTACCAATGTAGCCCTATTTTATCAACTCAACTCGCCCTCCCATAGTGATTCATACTGAGTGAGCGATTATGGGGTACATTTCGATTGCGTGTCGGGGAACTGAAACCAGAGTAGGCACAGCCAATCAGAGCAGGCACAGCCAATCAGAGCAGGCACAGCCAATCAGAGCAGGCACAGCCAATCAGAGCAAAGGAAAATATCACATGGAGATAATAAGAAACAGGCAAAGTGCCTGAAGTGCGGGAAAACGCGGATGACCAAATCGCGTTTGGTTTTAGTTGAATCTGATTGGTCGAGAATTGGTGCAAGTTTTTGGGATCAATCATAGAGCAAGTTAAAGCAAAACCAATGCAATCCAGGATCACTTTGTCACTCATTTGAACATTACTCTCTATTTTGGTGAAAATATTATTTTGGATATTTCTATGGTTATTTTACAGCTCCAATATCCCCTGAAAAACGAGCCAAGCTTAGAAACATGTTTCAGAAACGGAGAACTACCCCAGTGAGAAAAAGCATGCCTGGTAAGTCTTGTTATCGTTATCATTATTGTTATTACACACTGCAAGCTTTGGTCAGCTTCAATGGTTCTAACGCCAACGGGGCTAGTCCAGTTTGGCCCGTTGTATTTGCCATTTTGTTTCGCCATACCAGACTCCCTTTTTCCTTAGCTGCTCGGAGCATCCATTGGCTTTATTTGTGAACAATATCTGATGGTAGCGGATGTTGCGATTTGATGTTCCTTTGTGGACGAGGCTAAAAAGATGGTTACGTTGCTGAAAAAAAAATCACACGAAAGTACAAGTGTGCAGTCAGACTTTGTTCCTGAAAAGGAACGTGGAGTTAATATTCCCTGTTCTTTTCTCCATTGATTTGAATTTTGTAATCTACAGGGGAAACTCAACAGTACATTAGTTTTACCTGACATTGTCTGAAATAAAAATATTTCCAAGTAATTATGACTAATTATGATTCTGCATACGGTTCCACTTTAGCAGTGCCAGGGTTCTTAACCTTTTCAAAATACTCTTTACTAACTCTTAATTTTTTTTCCAGTTCCTCTTACGGTTAACAAGACACCCTTAGTGAAGCCGGCTAAGCCTGAAGAGTCATTCTTTTCTTCGACTCCTGCTCTAGAGCGAGGAGAAATGGCAGAACGATCCAAAGGTAGCTTTGAGCCCCTTGATGAGGCTGAAAGGCAAAGTGAAGAAAGCCTTTCCGAGGAAGAGTCCCAGGATGACGACACCAGTGAGGAACAAGAGCTTAATCCGTGTAGCGAAGTCCAAGAAACCCGTTCACGTGCGCCTGATTCGCAACCTGTACAATCTACAGTTAAAGACACTTCAAAGAGCGGTTTCAGTTTGGGGAATTCACAAGGAACGGCTGAATTAAAGGAGCCAGCGACTCAAACAGCGAGAGGATCAGCTGATATCAACAATTTGCAACAAGTCAGGGACAGTCCGAAGGCTGTTGCAGGTGGAGCATTTTCTGCAGTTGATAAGTCCAGTGATGAAGGCATTAAGACGTCAGAATCACAGGCACCTCAAGCTGAATCAGTCCAACCAGCAACTGGTTTTAAACTTCCTCCAATGAAGGAAGAGGTAAAGTATTTTTTTTTTGTTTTCACTACCTTTTTGTTTTTTTTCTCACCATTATATCTTCCTCGCTATTGTTCCCAATCTCTTCCGACACATCATCTTCGCTTTCTTTCTGTCGTTTCGTTTATAGTCCTCGCCTGCACCAGTGGTTCAGCCGAAAGGTGACTTTAAGCCCAATGTTAAGGTTATAAGCACAGAAACACCTCCGCACGTTGCTGCAGCTATGGCTGCAATGAGTAGAGCCAGTGCAACCCAAGGAACAGTTCAGTCAAGTAGCAACCTTGATCCTTCAGCGAGCATCGAACCAGTAACTCTGGTGACTTACAAACCACAGTCCCAAGGAAGTGCACCAACTAAGGACTATGATGCAGGCAACACTGCTGCGAAAGCAATTGCCGACGCAGCATTGATGGCCGCTACAGCAGAGGCCCAGAAGTCTTCCACAAAGCCTCAGTATAGCACAGAATTTGTCTTCAAATCCCCTGACAGTAGCAAGCCTGGCCCTCCAGTTGTCACTTTTAAGCCACCTGCCTCTCCGCCAAAAATAAATGAGAGTGGTACCAAGTTTTCTGCTGCTCCCAATGTCACTGTGAATCCAAATAGTGTAGTTAAACCTACATTTGCACCACCATTGCCGACATCGTCCACGACGTCCAGAACTAGTGGGCTGCGGCAGCCTTTGTCAGGAACTCAGGCTATAGGCGGGTTCAGCTTTGCTCCACCGGCTGGAAGTTTATTCAACTTGGGAACTTCGTCTGGGACTGCCGTTCCTGCATTCAGTGCATTTAGTTTCAGTAGTAAAGCGAAAGACACAGCAGATTCCAAAGCTTCTAGTCTTACCGCTGCGGCAAGCGTTGAGTCACCTAAACCAGCAACTACTTCCTCGACACCAGCCGTGGGTATCACTCCTAGCGCAGGAGTGAGTAGGAATTTATTTGCAGCAGGAAATGCAGGTGAGCAAGCAATACCAACGAGAGGCGAACAAGAATTGAAGCAAGAAACTAGAAAGGATGAAGCGAAGGTGAGTCTTTTAAACTGGGTATTTTGTGATGGCTAATAAAAAATGGAAACGTCGTAGACTTTGAGGCTTGTGATGAAGATATTAAAGACATCGACTTTATTTCAGGTCGCTAAACACAAAATTGCAAGGCCTTCTTAAGTACTAACGTGATAGCGACTCACACAAATACATTTCCACAGTGTCGAGTTGTTAGTTAAAGACTGTAAACGATGAAGAAACGTAGACGACTTCATGGAATGGACTGGGTAAATTTGAAGTCCGTTCCCCCGACACGTTAAGTTGACCTTTTATTCTAAAGGAGGGTTTAGAATTTGCCAATTTTCACCTCAATTAGTGTGAAGTTCCAAATTAGCATCTGGAATTTACTGCTAGTTAGTACAAAAAAAAAAACTATGAAAAGGAAACTAGTGTTTTTTTCCTGTTTTCGACAGACCACCACAGCTTCATCTGTCTTCACTTCCAGAGAATTCGTAACTACGGGCACAGCAGCAGGGTCCTCGAATTCCGCTACAGCCACATTTGGTGGAGGGTTTTCTTCATCTGGCAGTGTAAGTGGTCTATTTGGTTCTGCTGGTACAGGCAGTGGTTCCACAAGCATCATGAGCAACTTGTTGCGAACGTCTGCCATAGGAGGTATTTCAGCATCTGGTGATGCAGCACCTACGGTCAGCTCACTTCCCGAGGAGGTCCCTCTGCCTTTTAAAGGGACTCCATCTGAGAACAAAGATACCAGTGCTGCAGCCATAACTACAACATCCACCAGTGCATTTGCAAGTCCATTTGCTCAGGCCCTTTCAGGAAGTATGAAGTCGAGTTCGCCGTCTTTCACAAGTATAGGGAGTACATCACTACTCACTGGAAGTGCTTTTGGAGCTTCAACTATGACCGCTACGGCTGCCACGTCTGCTACGCCTGCATCCGGAGGTGAATTTGGCTTTTCTCTTGGTGGCGCTAAAAGTGCCATAACAGCTGCGCCATCTGTCACCTCAGCAGGGAGTAGTGCATTTAGTTTCACAGCTGGTTCTGCATCATCTGCCTTTTCTGTGACAAGTAGTACGAGTCCTTTCTTCCCCAGTATCACTTCAGCTTCCAAAAGCACCTCTTCACCATTAGTAAGTTCTTCATTAACCACTTTTACAACACCGAAGTCAACAGACGTGGTTGCAAGTTCATCTCCAGGTTCTTCAACCTCAATTGCTACTACAAGTGGTCTGTTTGGAAAAATCACAAGCACCACAAGTGCTTTCGGTGCAGTTCTATCGACAGGCAGTAACATTTCTGGCTCTCAAGGCGCTACTTCAACTACCACTGCCTCTGGAAACGTCTTCGGAGGATTCACATCAACTTCCTTCTCTCCCACTCCAGTGTTTGGAGCTTCAAGAGGCCTCACCTTCGCAAGCACTCCTCCAGCTTTCGGCGTCCCTGTCAGCAGCCAAGGTTCCACATTTGGTTCCACACCAGGATTTGGATCGCAAAGCTCAGCGACCGGCACAGGGTCGGGGACAGGATTTGGGGTATCTTCCACTGGGCAGTCACCTTTTGCTTCTACCACAAGTAGTGGGTTTGGCACTGCCTCCAAGCCAAATGAAAATAGTAAGTAAAAACCTTTATGTAAACTGTTGGGTGGTAATTTTCCATAGCCACATGACTTGTCTCTGGGTTGTTTATGAGAAGGCTTTACGAAAAGCAGGTTTCTCCGCTTTTCTTCCCTTCACATTGACCAACTCTCAGAATTCCAAAGAGACTTGCCACGTTTGAATTCTATTTTCATATTATATTTATAAGAAGAAAACTTTTGGAGTGCAGTCCCATTGTGATAACTTGCAGCCTTCCTGCCGGAACCTTTAGGCAAAAAGTGTCTACCATATGTTCATTCACATTTTCAAGCAAATCCTCTCCTGTAAACATTGAAAACGAACTCCGTTAGAGCTAATTTGTTTCGCTGTCTGATACTATAACCTTCTGAGAATTAATTTATGGTAATTATAAGAAGCTGTCTGTCATGGTACCTTGGATACTAGTAACTTACTATAGACTGCCTTTTTTCTCCTTAAGCTCTAGGATTTGGATTTGGTGGCTTTGGTTTAGGTGGACAAGCAAGCCCACAGACTAGCAAGACGAACCCTTTTGGCGTCACGCAAGGATTACAGGCTCCCACGTCTACACGTAAACTATGACTTTTTATTTTTGTGGCTGACATTCCTGACTGTTGAGTAATGCTTACTTTGTTTCAGAGCGTGGAATTGATAACGTAATGGCTGATTCCTTGTTGAATCATTTTAATGGGGACAAGGTTTGCAGAGATGTTTAGAAAATTGTTAACGCTCACTGCGCATGGTGTCGATTGTAGTTCCATAGCAATAGAAGTATGGCTACTTATGTCTGAGAAGTTTTTCTCGTTTTTAACTGTAGAGTCTTCATTGTTTGGTGGGAAGTCAGGAGCTGATATTTTTAAGGTTGGTAATGTTAAAAAATATTTTTCTTACAATGCGACCTTGTGAAGTGTCTTTTACATTCCATCATGCTGCATCCTCGGCCATATTTAGTTCCTAATCAATCTTTGTCGTTTGTCTATGGATATCGAACAGGTGCCATTAAAATCGTTACGGAAATGTAGGCTTCCGCATGCACACCGTTTTTTCTATTCTCTCTCTCTCTCTCTTTCTTTCATGGAGGTGGAAGGGTGTTAATTTTTATATGATTATTTATTCATTTTTAACGTCAGGCGAGTGATACATCAAAGCCAACGTTCGGCGGTGGTCCATTTTCTTCATCTGTGTTTGGTTCCCAGTCCACTGGTGGTTTTTCAGGAGGCTCCTTCAGTGCTCCAGGTACTGGAGTAGGTGCCGGTGGTTTTGGCTTTGGTGCTGCATCGCCATCAGGTAAAAGCTCTCTTTACTAAAACGCTTCTTACGAACCGTCGCCGCGCATACCTTCCCAAAGTTCACGCAGCGCCGAGATATTTAGTATTTTTGACTAGCAGGACGAATTCTGGTGGGAAAGAGAAAACGCTCGTGCTGTATTTAACAGCAAATAAAAGTAGGTCTTAGAATTAACGGTTTAAAGAGTTCTAAATTTGTCGTTAATTTTACAGCCAGTAAGCGCGTTTGTCTACCCTCAATCACGAATTAGAAAACAACCCATTTATTCTCTCTTGTGCTCCTTGATGAGACGGTGACGAACTTTCAAGAGAAAACAATAGCAGCAAACACAAGAAATGAAAATGCTATAAAATGCTAACAGTTATCTGTAGTCACTGTATGATGAGTTTTCATGCATGGAAAGAAAATGTCAATTGCAGCTTTTGTTAAGGGAAATGTAAATTGATTTGAAGGTTTTCATAATGGCTTCTCAAACTTCTTAATTTCAGCTTCCTCAGGGTTCGGTACACCCCAACCCTTTGGCTCACCTGCTGCCAGTGGGTCTGTGTTTGGTGGTGCTCCTGCGTTTGGTGGTGCTCCTGCGTTAGGAGGTGCTCCTGCGTTAGGAGGTGCTCCTGCGTTTGGTGGTACTCCTGCGTTAGGAGGTACTTCAGCGTTTGGTGGATCCCCTCAAGGAGGTGTGGGGGCTAGTCCTACGGGAGGGTAAGACTTGTTTGTGTATTGAATGTTTATATGTTGTTTGAATTGAATTAGTTTTTACTGGTTGTTTAAGCCAGAAATACTATACGAGAGAGAGAGCTTTCGAACACTATTGTAAGTTAATGATCAGGATTTCGACTACCTTTCAAATAGGCGATGTCGGTGGCGTGTTCATATTTTGTTTTTATTATTTCTTTAGGTTTTGGTAGGTCAGGCGTTGTGCTTTATTAGTTCCGTTGTTGCATTCAGCTGATTGGATTCTGTTTGAACTGTAGACTTGTTTTAATATACAGCGAAATCAGCATCGGCTGCTCAGTAGTAAAAAACGAGAACAGAAATCAACGAAGTGTTGCCACTGTTTGTTTTGACCCACTCCTCTCCCGCCCCTTCACCGATAACGAACTGAAATAGAAAAACGCTAAGAAAATTGACTTGCACAAGGTAGACTGAATGAAAGGAATAAATTGTCCTTATTTTCGGAAGGTAACTTGTAATAGCTGCGATTTGAAAAGGAGTCACTCTTCTCTTTTTACTTTGTATATTCACAAGGATCTTTGGAAGTGTCAATTCTGGTGGATTTGGACAGTAAGTTATTACTGACTTTTCCTCAATGTAACGTTGCCGTTATGGTCAGTAATGGTTGGTCGAAAATGAAAATTGATTTCACTCCTTTCCCAATGTAGTCCTATAATTTGATTAGAGGACACTGTTCAAGTGTGTCATCATGGTGATCCCGTAAAACCCCTCATTGTGTCGTTGAAGTTCTAGTCTAGTCTTGAGAAATGAGTATTTCTGTCCCTCTGAAGCAGCGTTTTCCTTCGACATCCATCCAAAAGTTCTTTTTTTGGCAGTGACAAATGAAAACTCCGTTAAATTACTCAAAAGGACCTGAACTCGCACAGGTCCTAGAAAACCTGGAAAGTCCTGGAATATTATTTTGGCCTTTTTCCATGACTGGAAAGTCCTGGAAAAAGACCACAGGTCCTGGAAAGGTCCTGGAAATCTGCTTAACTCAAGCAAGAAAGTTTTCAGAACCTACGTTGTAAGAAATGTATGTAGACCGTAAGGAGAATTTATTTTGAAATGTTGAAAATATGAAATGGGAATGAAAGGAACGAAGTGAAATTTGGAGTCTTGGGAAAATCAGAGTCCTGGAAGAGTCCTGGAAAAGTTCTTGAAATTTGTTTCTGAAAAAGGGTACGAACCCTGAAGGATGCGTGGCCACGTTTTTAATTTCTCATGTTAGACGTTGTTTTACACCCTATAGATCTCAAGGCAGCCCCACCTTTGGGGCTTTGGCCGGGCAGTCTAACGTTCCTTCATTTGGAGCTGTGGCTGGTATGCCTGCCACTCAAGGGTTTGGTGGAATGCAACAGCCGCAACAAACATCTCCTGCTTTTGGCTCGTTCGGTGGCGGCTCACAGTAAGTAGAACAAATTCGCTTTGTTTTATCGAAAATTGTGAAAAAAAAAAGTTTCTTGTTGTGTTTCTTTTTTTCCGGTGTGTGTGTTTGCAAGTTTTAAAGTTTTCCCTTAAACTATTTGAAGTCATGTCCAAGCTTGTTTTGAAACTTTGAAGAGTTACACCCTTTTTTTCGCAAAGTCGCACCTGAATTTGTTGTCGTATATTATGTTCTTATCGCTTAATGACTCGAACTCCCGATAACCTCCCGTGTTCTTCTTGTCAAGAGATGAATGAACATAGGTCTTAGTGAGGGATCACCAGGTGTTCCATTATCTAAAATAGCAGTTATTCAAGGCATCCTTATATTAAGCTTTTTTACCTAACTATTCACACTGCCAAGTAAGTTCATAGATCAAAACTCACGGGATGCTCCTATATCTGTGACAATTGTAGTTTGTTTCCTGACAGGAGTCCCGGCGGTGCGTCGTTCTCACAGTGGAGGTGACGCTTAGCTGTCCTTTGAATGACAGTTTCCAGTGGATAGTTAAAACAATTCTAGTATTTGCAGCGTCGTTTCACAGCTGCTCAACATAAGGCAGGGTCTATTAAAAAGTTGTTGGTTATTGATGAACGACTACAATTTGTGTACAAGCAGTTGCATTGTATCTCGTTTTACCAGAGGTGAAGCTGAGAGCACCTTTGCCCCAACCCTAAGAAAGCCAACCTAAACGGCGATGCCACGCAATATTCGGTATTATCAAGAGAGTATCAACTGATATTCTCTTGGTATAATACCGTTTTGACTTTAAACTTTATCAACCACCATTAGGAAATAATTTTTTTCAAAAATGGACCACCAACCCACCGATGAGGATTCTAATGTGTCTTATGCGCACACAGGGTATGGTGGCTAACCACTTGCGCTTCCCGCTCCACGCAAAAGAAAAACTGTCTAACGGCATTTGCATTATAATTTATTCGAGTGGGTTGAGATCTGGGCGTAAATTCAAAGGAAAATCACGAATTAGTGGTCGCTGGTGAGTTTTGTAATAAGCCCACTCCTTCCTCTGTAAGCCCAAGAGTCTCGGACGTTAATAATTCCCGGGGGCTTTCTAAGTGTTCGCGGTAAACAATTATATCTGACCCTTGAATCAGACGTAAAAACAACTAATAGACGCTGTTCAGTTGTCTTCCTTCATCACTAGGATAAGTTTTGCGCGCGTGGAGCGTTGAGCTTGCTTGAAGCGCGCGCCTAATAGCTACCTAAAACTGGAGCATGCTTCCTCGGACTTGCACCTGATAGGGAATTAAAATCCGGCGTAGCCTATCAGTATAGTTTTTACCCCTTACTTTGGGAAAAAAAAAATGGGGATTTCTTCTCGATGATCAATGTTTGCTTTAAAAATAAATATTCATTTATATTGATATTATCACATTACTGATTGCACTACGCCTGGAGAACTATTCAAATGATTCGGGGCCGTGTCAAATACAACAACGTTACTTCCAAAAAGATGTACCTGCGGATCAACTCTGTTTCACTACCAAGATCTCAATATCAATTCTCCTTAATGTCTGTCATATAATAGTTAACTATAGCTCAAAGAATTTGGTATTCAGTAATCAGACCACTCCTTATTGATATTTTTCTTCCCTCTCATGATCATCGTGTCACCTTTTCACTCGACACTGTACAATATTTGCAATACCAAGTTGATATTGCAAATATTGACTACCAAAGGTCCACTCTTGGGAGTGAAGGCGTTAAAATTTACCTTTTTCCGAGAAGGAACGATACGCAAAGAGTATACGATAATGTATTATTTCTTTATTTAATAATAGAATTTAGAGGCTAGTCGAACCTCTTTCCATATCCGTATAATGTGTTGGCTTATACTCGTCGATAGTACGTCAATTACTTATATTTGACATAGAATATTTCATTGAGAATCTTCGGCCACTAAAAATTTCTAGAAATTCCGGCTGCGATTCTAACAACAATTAAAAACCTCGCCGGGCTAGCTTATAGTTAACCATTGACGAGGAAGCTCTATTTTATTGACCAGAAGAGCGTTTTTATGGAACAGTTTGTAAGGTCTTTCTTGAGTGGTTAACATTCTGGCATTATTCCATCCTTGAATTCATTTTGTAAGTGTTAATTGTTTAAGCCTGTTCTGCAGTTCAGGCATGCAAGACTGGTAAGCCAGTCCTGTGCCAAATACGTAGCTCTGGTTTTCATTTCTTGTCCGAGCGGCATGCAGCTGATCCACTATTTGTTCTCGCTTCCACACTTTCTTCTTTTCTTCTAAAGTAAGCTCGGTGTCTACCTCCTTTGCTGTTGTTGACGTTTTAGTTGGTGTTGGTGTTGTCGTTGTTAGCGGTAAGTTCACTGCATTGCCTTTCACAGATTTTTGTAACGCCCTTTGAAGTACCTCCGCCGAGGTCAGCTGAGGGACTGCGTTGCTATTTTTCTGATTATCTTTCGATAAAATAGTTATTTTGGTGGTGTCCTGCGTTTGGCTAGAAGCCCGTGGTTGTATTGAGTAGGGTACAGGCGTAGGCATCGGCGAGGTCTCAATTTTATGAATTTCATCGGTTTTCCCCGTTGAAAGTCCCCCATTTCCAATCAACATTGCATTAGATGATTGCCTTGTAACAATAGAGGAGGCTTTATCGATACTCTTTCGCGAATCCTGTGTTTTCTGGTAGTAAGGCACGTCGACATTTTTGACGATAGTCAATTTTCCAATCGATCTGACCTCAGATGGTTTGGTTGTGAAAGGAGGATGGCCATTAGGGATATTGTGGACTGTTGCCTCTACTGTTATCGCTTTGTTCGGCCGTGGCTTTTGATTAAAACCGGACAATGTTTTGACGTTATTGTTAATATCAGTTCCAAAAGATACATTCGTTTCATCTGCGTTATTACTTTCTGTTTTTGAAGTTTGGTCATGGTGAGTAACTGGCTGTTCACTGGTAATCGTAGCCTCCAATTTTTTAACTTGGTTTTTAGCAGATAATTCTCTTTTTATGCTACTTCCCATTAGAATCTTGGTTTCCTCCGTTTCTTTTGTGTTTGGGGTGTCATCATCCATAACTGTTGTTACTCTTCTGGCAACACCTGGGCACGGTGAGGAAACCGCAGTATCAACGATATCAATTATAGTGCAGAAGTCGTTTTGTTCTTCATGCGATTGCTCTTCATTAGGCACGTCTTGCGCTGCACCGATCATTTGGGCTTCGTTTCCTGCAGACAAGCTAACGTGTGAATCTGAATCATTTGGTTCGTTGCGAATCTCCACTATGCACACCTGATCTTCGCGATTAACTTTGTTTTTTTCTCGATTTGCTAAAACGATCTCTTCGATGGAAACCGATTGGTAGTCTGGCTCTGGAATCCATGTATACGATTTCGTTCGAGGTTTGATAATTGCCTCTGCATTTTTAACTGCCTTCTCTTTAGCTGTCATGGATGGTGCAGATCCTGATCTGCTGATTTTTATGCTTTTCTCAGCAGTCATAGATTTGACAGACATTCTCTTCCGTGTATCAGCGTCTGTGCTTTGATCCTTCTCAGGTTCTTGGGGGCTCTTCCCTTTCTTGTTTTCGCCACCGCGTTTTACAGAAAGAACTAGTTCGGTTGATGGAGGCATCTCCTCTGTGGATAGAATGGCTAGCTCGCGCTGTGTGTATCCTTTGAGGGATTTACTTCTTACAAATCGCCTTCCTTCTTCACCTCTTTTTAGTTTCAAGGAGCGAGTAGTCATGTTTTGTTTTCTTGGCTCCGAAACTTCCCAGTTAAATGACTGGCTTCGGTTTTTTCTCACATCGCTTGGTTGGCGTAACAATGTTTCCCATGTGTATTCAGACCTTTGGACCAGACAAGGACTGTTACTTGAGGGAGGTGCGGCCTTACTATTTTCATCAGAAGGTGACTTTTGTCCAGTGGATGCTTGCTTCTCGACAACCGTCGGCCGAGATCCGTTTTGTTTATTTGCAGAGTTAGCCTTCGGAGATGTAACGCTTTGCACGGATCGAAGAACTGCGTCTGAAGTCCCTGGAATCTCGCTAACAGAAGTGTTTGGTATAAGCACAGTGGAAGCTTTACGACGAATTTTGGTAGAACCTCTTTTAGTGTCCATACAGAGTCCGTCTTCTGTTCTCTCAGAAACCACGCTTGGATTGACGTGAGTTACCCAATCTTTACCATCAGTGAAGCGTTCAGGATCCCCCGCTTGGTTCATCTGAACCCTGTAACGATGCGGCCAAAAACGAAAAAGATTATGTAAGACTACTGTATGATATACAATCCCATAGTCAAGCACTAAATGAACCTGTTTTATGAAAAGCCAAGAAAGAATATTTTCTTAGCATTAATACTGACAGTGGAGGATATGCCTTTTTTTTAAAAAGACAGTCATCTATTAAATACGAACAAAGTAAGCTTCGAGAAAAATTTGACGCTAACTATTGGTGATCCGCGCGTAAATAAGCTAACGTGGGTGTCTGTAGCCACAGAAAGCCATGGAGATTTGCCAGCGGCAATCTGTTTATCTATAAATTTTGACTTGATGAATTCCTTTTTGGCCGAGGGGCTTTTAGAATTAAACTAGGTTCAGCAGTAAGAATAACTTTCTCCATCACTAAAGAAAATGTATTTTTTTCACTATTTGTGACTTCCCGTGAAATTCTCTGTTTCATGCACACAAAAACAAACCATCAGCTCTCATCAAAGCTCGACTTTGGTCTGATGATCACAAGCGTGACTTGCAGGGCTGATTATTAAATGTTGTTTTAATCTAAAATGTACCATTGACGGCTGACTGCACGAATTGAATTGGTTATTCAGTTTTCCTCATATACTTAGCTCAGCGAAACTGGCGATAAAACATTACATATAGGAAAAGAAAAATTTCTGGTGCCTCATGAACGAGATTGGTACACATAAGACTCAAAGTTAATAATAAATTTACGAAAGTACTGAAGTCAACAACACCTAACTTCAAAAGTTAGCAATTTTGTGAACGACACTAGCAGCTGTAAAATTGAGTATACTTCCTCACCTTTTCTTGCGACGACATATTTTGTACATGACAACTGCCACATAAGCGACGAGAAGAAGGCCTCCTCCACAGCCAGCCAAAATAATCCACCAGAGCTCCATTTATCTCTATACGAAAGGATATATGTAAAAGAAACATTATAAAGTTATTGAGATAAGAAATAACAAAAGATCTAAAAATTACAAAGTAAATTGTGAGTTCCAAACTTTTTACGTTATATTTAGGGTATACGCAGGGTATACGCAGCAGAAGTTTGGAAGGACAACACTTTTCACTTGAACTGCCTTATGATTTGCATACTGATCGCCTTTATGGCCATCTGCCTTATAGTCAACTCGGTGCATTAACTTCCGCTGCGGGCCCTTTTAAGATAAAAACTATCACAAAAACATTCCTTACACCAAAGAAACAGGTAAACAAAAAAATTTTTCCATATGAATCGCCATATTGAGACGAGTAATTTTCTTTCATTTCATGTATACTTCGAACAACTCTGACAAATCTTTAACCAAGAGAAAATAATATCCCATTACTTTCTTTCGCTTTTTCTCGTCTTCACACTTTGAAAGTTGCCTTTCGTTGCGTGGGTCATCATCTCGATACTGTTTAAGATAAGGAAATGGTAATATTGAAATTAAGAAGGCAAAATCGGCTACTATCACGGGCTTGCACTAATTCGTGAGAAGTAAGTAGTGGTGATATTTTTTTCAACGTAGGTAAACTTACGAATTCGCACTTGAAATGGTAAATAGTGTGTGGATCATGGACAGTGTTCACAGCTAAAACGTTTATAATTTCTAATCTCACACCTTAATAAAACAGGTAAACGTTATGAATAATAGGATCCACGATTCAGTCGCGAAGTAATTTGCAGTAAAAATTTCTGATAATTTGCTGTGAAATTTTGGCGTGTTACAGTTTCACCTCGATGATGGAACCGGAGAAGAAGAATCGATTTAATGGTGCAATAAATTTGAGCGTGGTATCTTTTGATAAGACAGGTGTCTATTACTGACAAGTTCTTCTTTAATTTATGCTTAAGAAGGAGAGAACTAATTTAAACAAAAAACACGAGTCTTTCGTCAAGTTATGAACTAAGTATTCTAAATTAAAAATCTTGTGTCGGCATATATGTTCAAAATGTCAAAACGCAATATCTAGATCGTTCCCTACAGAAAGCTTTCCATTAAGTTAATAAAAAATTCGGAACTGCTTTCAGTTTTAGAGTAATATTTGCATTGCTCGGTTCATTTGCCAGTCTGGTTGCAGGGTATAAATAACTCGCTTATACAGCTAAATCGTGTTAAAACAAGTCTGTCAGTGGGTTTGCTAGAGAAACCTTCGCCAAATTTATGTTTTTCAAAGAGTGAGAAATAAAAAAAAATATTTTGTGCACATGAACTGAAAGTTCTGACTTGTGACATAATTAAGTGTTTCAAGAAAAATTCTACTTAGGCCTGTAGTGCCATGAAATATTAATAAGCCACAAACAGGCTGTAAATAAATGTTATTCTTTTGCAGAAGTTAAGATTTCGTTACAGCAGCGCAAGCTATATTTCGATTCTTTTTCTAGCAGTTTTATGTTTAATGTTCGAGATTCTTCTGTAATAAATATGATAAATGCAGACTTGACAAATCAACCAGGTCCTCGATTCATTTACAATGTACGCTTTTAGATCATGATTAAACCGACAATAGTGCTAAATTTTGCTAGGTTTCGACTCACTTTTGTCAACGACGTTGTCTGTGTGCCCAAACCTCCTCTAATAACTTCACGTTCGCCAATCCGGAATTTCTGATTTCTGTTTTTTCCCAAAGGCACTGACCGAAGCATTCGCACAGACTTCAAGGTGGAGAGTGACTTAATGCAATCAGCTTTTACAGGCCCCTTTATCCTAGCAGCGGTATTCAAAATATCTTAGCAACAAAGAATCGTGTCTCCTATTGTTCCAAAAAAGAGCGCTTTCTAGAAACAAAAGCTACAAGCTCAAACAAATCTCATCATTTGCTTTGTTTTTCCAAAAATTACCATATAACTAATTGTGGGGATGTTGTCATAGAAAAAAAAGAAAGGGAAAAGCCAAAAATAATTTATTGCTATATGTAGTCCCAACGCCACCGCACACGTTTCTGTCGGAAATTTGCCGCCGATCCATTCTGAGAGAATGAACAGAGTAAAATGATGATTAAAAATCGGCTTTTATGTTTAAATTCAGGGCGGCTTCAAGGAGCCTTCAAATCAAAGTTAAATGTTTTATGTATTACTAAGTCATTTCTATTTTCATTCCTCTCTTCTTTGACTTTCAGCGTAATTTTAAATTGGTGTGCCTAATCTGTGTCCTTCACTCCTGCTGTCCACACAAAATGTGTTTGGTTTCCCTTTGTAAGTTCAAAACAACACAGTCATCTTTTTTAGCCAAATTGATACTTTCCTACTCAGAAGTCAAAACTGAATGAGCTGAAGATTTTAGGAGGCTATAAATTCACAAGATATATTCTAAAGCGATGATGGCAGATGGAGATTGTTAGTGTGATACTGTTTTTGGGGTCACGCAAGAGGGCAAGGGTTACTAGAAGTTATGGAATAAATCATAGGGACTGCTTCAAATCAACTTGATAAATAAACTATGATGCTTGGATAGAATAAAAATCCTTCTTTCTATAGAGAAGACTGGAACCCTTTAATGCAGACAGATTGTTTCGGACTATAAATCTCTTTTCTACTGTTTCTTTGAATCCCTTCTCACTGTAATCGCTGTATTTTTTTCTGCATTTTATTTATTTTTTACCAATTATTTTCCAGACGAGCAATTAATTAACCTACAGCTTGTTTGTTAATTATGATTATCAAATACCTGGTGTTTTCTGTGGAGGATTGTGGACATCAAATGGACGAATGGGAAAATTGGGGAACACGAATCTTATCAGATGATAGTTAATGAAATGTTATTATTTATCACACGGATGAAAAAATTTATCATAATACGAGGAATTTTTATTATCTCATTAATCACGTTCGTGCAAAAGTGGAATATGACTGAACTTGGAATTGTCTAGCAATTTCTTTTTGGCGTTACTAAGGACGTTCATCTATAAATGAAAGTAAACAAAATTTGACTCGAACCTCTATCATTGTCTCGGGAGAACTTTAAAATTTTATACAACAATTTACTTTACGGTCATGGATGGAACATCGTGCTTTTCATAATTTTATGATATCATCAAACAGCTGAACTAGCACAAAGATGTTTACTTCATGCACTATACCTGAATCCTAAATAGAATTGGCGAGATTCCATCAATTACGATCAAAATGTGGCCCTCCATGACGTTTTGTGGTCCAAAACGGATGCAACTAAAATGTTGCTGGTTACAGAGAAATCAAAGAGATAGCCTCCAGTGATTTCCATCTGACGTCATCAAACTTTAGTTGTAGTTACCCACCTTAATCGCTTCCTGTTTCTTTCGAGTAGTTTAAAAATTACTGGATTGTTACTTAGCCCAGCTGGCTTCTTCCTGCAAAATGAACAGTATTTTCTAGAGCTTTCTATTTGGTTTAAATTTTGCAACTTGTCAGTGTCAATTTAACCAGGCTGGAAAAGAAAAAAAATTGTGTTTTTGTTTCGTACGCTGAAGCTACAGATCATATCCCTTAAATATAATGTACTTGTATCTTAATTGCGAAATGGAGCAAGATGGAAACTGAGTAACGTGATCCTTTGTAGTGGTTCACGGTTTGTTTTTGTTTACCTTACTAATAAATTGCTTAGAGATGAAAAAAGCGCTCATTATGTAACAGCTGCACGACTGCTTTTCCGTAGAGTCATACCTAAGTTTATTCAAAGCTGTAGACTAGTCAATTTTGGCAAGCAGTGATCGGGGACGAGTTCATAATTTTCAACCTTAAGTTTCCTAAATCTCGCTCGCCATTTAATTAAGCACAAAGTCCTTGAACACAGATAGTGAGACTTCGATGCAATGAGGCGTTGAATTCGTTTTCCGCGGTTTCGAAAGACGGCACCAAGAGATGAACACAATATATCTACAGAAGACGAATCATGATGTTTAGAAGCACCCAAGAATACCTCGTTTGTGAGTTTCACCGGTGATCGTAGGCAAAATTTATCCTGCTATCTTCTGCACAGGTTCTGGAGGGTTGTGGCTGCCAAAAGTGACCATCTCTCTTCAAGAAAAGCAGGTTTGTTGCCTTCAAATAGTTCTCACGCTATTCAACTTCGCTTGGCTGAATCTAATTAGTGTCTTTGGGGCAAATGCTGTTTTGGTGGCAGACTGGCCAATAATTTTAAAGCTCCCCTGCCAAGATCAAGTGCTCTTGTCAAGTTGAAACCAAGTCATCCGTTAAATGTAAACAATAAAGAATGTCATATTTTAATTCACTCGTTCTTTATAGCTCCTTCGAAGGAAACAGACATGAAAATCAATTTTTTCATGGTACTTTCGTTTCATTTATCCCAGTCAAGAATAACTCATAATTTATGCGCAGGTCCTAATCCAAAATATGAACTCAGCGCTATAATGTTCATATTCAGTTCCATCAAAATGAACAGGTGATCTCTAAATGGGTCCAACAAATATAGATACTTTAAAGTGTTAATCGGAAAAGCTGTTAGAAATAAAACTGGGAATGCTTTTTTTTAACAATTTTCCACGCATAAGCGTAACGTTCGACATGCTCTTGCTGTCAATCACAATCTGAGAAATATCGCAGAAAGTGCGTCCCTCTATAAGTTTCTAAAACTATTTTAACGCCTCCCCCTTGATACAAGTGTGGTGATCGTTTAACCCTTTACACTCCAGCATCAGTATGCATATTCTCCCAACTCTTCTCTAGATATTTCCTAAGGTGCTGAAAAGGAGATTTTTTTGACAATCTAAGAGCTTCTTTGGTTGGTGATAATTTTCATTTTTCTTGTGACGTTTATGTGTGATTCGTGGTTGATATTGTAAGAAGAAATTAGACAATGTTAGGAGTCAAAAGGTTAAGAATCTTGTGTGCATTCGCTAAACATTACACAGGAGAAGAATGTACCGAAGCAATGGAGCGTTTGTGACGTAAGCGTCGTTACACAGCCTTCTTAAACCTGTGACACACCTGGCGATTTATTAGCCGATCGCGGCGATTTTGATCGTCACGATCGGCGTACAAAGTTGCAAATATCTGGTATTTCAGATATCGGCGATTTTATACGCCGATCGCGGTGATCAGGGAAAATTGCAATCGCCGCACCGGGCAAACCTGGCGATTTTCGCCGTTCGCCGCGATCGCGCGATCGGCGTTTAAAATCGCCAGGTGTATCGCTGGCTTTAGGTTTTATGGCGGCGCGTGGCGCCTTGAGGAAGTAGCTCCTCCCTAATTCACTATTACTACTCTGTATCATCTCATATGGGATGGTGTTATAGAACAAATTTCTAAGCCTTGCTCGACATGTTGATATAATCAATTACATTGGCTAAAGATAACTACAGGAATGGTATCTCATGTCCATTGTGTAAAAGCCCTTGCTTCTAATGCGAATAACTCGAAAAAGTAATTTTTTTCTTTAAGAGATACATCAGTTACAAACTTAAAAACTTACCCAGATATAACGTTTCGCAAATTTGATTATAAATGAGACGAAATGCATGCAAACATAAGATGTCTGAGATGGGAGAGCATTGTTAAGAGATACAACGCAACATCCTGAGGACAAAACGTTGATTTGGAAGTCTAAAAAGGGGAATGAAAAAATTAAAAAAGGCATTGGTATACCAGGAGATGATCACTGATTTTTCTCCCATTGACGCCTTTTGATATAATACATTGTCAGAATAACTATAACACTGATGAAGCAAAATTTTTTAACACTACCAGGGATTACTACATAGTCCAAAAAGACTGTGGGAAGGTCGTGGAGTGCTCGTGAACCCCTCCTTCTTTGGCATGAAAAATCAACGAACTGTTAACTATGAATCCTTCTGATACACTGTACGATTCCCATAAATCTTTTTGTAGGCGTTCCACTTCCCCCTCCCTCCCTCCACTTCCCTTTCTTTTCTGACGAAAAAACGGATTTACACCAAATTTGCGCAGTGCAAATGCGAGCAAATCTGGTCCAAAGCTGTGGCAAATGTGGTGCAAATGGGGTAAATGCCACATTTGCACCAGGATTTGCCACCCCCGTGCAAATCTAAAGCAAATGTGGCATTTACCTCATTTGCATCACATTTGCTACGGCTTTGGACCAGATTTGCTGACATTTACACTGCGCAAATATGGTGCAAATCCGCTTTTTCGTCCAGTGCGCGCGCGCGCGCGAGCCCGCGCATGCATGCATGCATGATCTTTAACCCCTTACATCCTAACATCATGATCAGTATACACATTCTCCATATAGTTCTCAACATATTTTCTAAGGTGCTGATCAGAATTTGTCAAACTATCACGAAGAGCTTCTTTAGCTGGTGCTCAATTCCTTGATTTTCGTGACTTTCAATGTGAGATTCGGGGGGGGAGATATTGTAAGGAAATTTTAAATGCTAATCTCTCGTAGGGGTCAAAGTACTAAAAAATCCTTCCTCTCAAATTGAGTTGAAGCAGTGCATGGCTTTCGTTTCACTTCGCAGTAAGCTGTAAAACTGAGCCAAATATTTTCCAGTAAATTTAATTGGGATTTTGCAATCAGAGAGCTTACTCAGTTACGCTACGAATTTCGTCGTAGTTTCGTCATGAGAATCTTTAATGAGGGAATTATTCCCGGAAAGTCCTTGACAAGTATATAGCTTTAGTGTTCATTTGTATGCTAAGAAAAAATTTCACTGGGACGAAATAAAGATTTTGCTATCTAAAATAGAATTTTCCAACCGTAATTTGTTAGTTGGCCATCGTAAATTCTAGTAAACTTTGAGCATTACATTTTCACGCGTGTACCTGAAGGTTTATCAGTGATCCTTTTGAATTGAATGCAAAGTGCAATAATATA